GTTCCTGATCCCCTTGAGGAGTCCCTCAGGGACAACAGGGAGGAGGACCCAGGTGGCAGTGCTGTACACCATCCACAAGACAGAATGATCCTGGAGAAACTGAGGTACAGAAAGGGGCAGTGACCCGCATAAGGTCCCACAGCCAGACAAGCTGTTCCCCAGCCTTTCCCTGGCCTTGCGTCTTCTGCAGGAGTCTGAGGCTCCAGAGAAAGGTTCCTGGAGAGGTGGGGTCATGTGGACTGGCAGAGGGGCTCAGGCCTGGCTGTTTGTGAGAAGGACACAGAGTGGACAGGGATGTGGTCAAGATTAAGGCTGTCCTGTTGGGCTTGCACCTGTCCACTCCCTTCCCAGCCAGAGAGTCACTTCTTTCTTGTTTACTTCTTCCAACCCCGACCTGACTATCCCAATCCAAAAGGACTATGAAAGAAGTTGAAAGAGCAGAGGGTACAGAGAACATAGATACAGATATGGTCTCCAGTCACTATTCCCCTAGTGTATGTGTGTGCCTGCCTGGGCGTGCGGTGAGAGGAAGGCATGTTTGTGCAATGTAGCTGTGTAGCCCTGAGCATGTCACTTCCTCCCTCGGGGCTTTGATTTTTCCCCTGCGAAGTGGGGCAATTTTCAATAGCCTGGCCCGATCCCCAGTGTTCACCAATCTGTTCTTGCTTTGACTTTATGTTTTAAATTGGTGTAATTTATGTGAAAGGCACAATGAGAGAGAAAGAGAGAATCTTCCACTTGCTGGTTCACTCTCCAGATGCTGTAACAGCCAGTGCTGAGCCAGGCTGAAACCAAGAGCCAGGAACGCCATCGGGATCTCCCCTGTGGGTGTAGGGGCTCAAGTAGTTTGGTCATCTTCCACTGCTTTTCCAGGGAGCTGGATTGGAAATGGAGAAGCCAGAACTCAAACTGGTTCTCCTATGGGATGCGAACATCACAGGTGGTCCAGTTGTTGGTTTCTGAAAGATGCTGGTTTGTGGTGTTCACTAAGCACTACAGGCCAGGTGTCTCATGATGGCTGGTCTGGGCTGCTTTTAGTGGACGTGGAGTTGGGAGGAGAGCTACACCACTGGTTCTCTCAAGCCCACAGCACCCACTCACTTCCCTGACACCACAACCCATTTCCCTGTAGGGCAAAGGGAGGATGAAGGGAGATGTGGACACAAAAGTGCAGAATAGATTGCAGAATGTTCTGTAGAAGTCAACTGAAAGGACCTCAGGGCAAAGTCCAACATTGAGAGTGTTGGCTCTGGCCCAGGAGAGGAACCCACAGGTGGTGATGGGTCATCGGACTGATGTGCAGTGGAGCAGGGGGCTGCTGACTGGACCTCCTGTCTCGGGTCACAAGTGCTCACTGAACCTGAACTAGGTAGGTTAAAGGTTAGGCTTCAGTGGAGTGAGACCCAGGACAACAGCATCCCCTTGTCCTTCCCACTGCAGTTCTTGCGGGGCTCTGCAATCGGGAACGGCTGAAATGCCCTCTGAGCCCAGAGGGGAGAAACTTGGCCTGTGTCGGTGAGGGAATGGCACGTCGGGGAGCCAGCGCTGGGGAGGCAAAGAAGGGGTGTTCCTTTTGCTCCCCCTCCCTCCACCCAGAGAGCTCATGCCTGGAATTAACTTGGTCCCACTGCTAATTATTAATAATAGCTATCATTTATTAAACACATACTATGCATTCAGCTATTTACAAGCAATAGTTCATCTAGTGCTGCAGAAGGGTACGTATGATTAGTCCCATTTTACAGATGAGGAAACTGAGGCCCAGGGAAGGTAATCAAGCAACTCATCCAAACAAATTCCCACAGTTGTGGAGATTCAAACCCAATCCTGACTCAAGACAGGTCAGCTTCAGGAACTTGACTGGCCAGTGGAAAGAGAAGCTTGGACCAGGGCAGCCTTGTGCCTCCCCCAAAGTAAGCCCTTCCCAATCCCAACCTGGAGACTCTGTCCCCACCCAGAGAAGGGGCAGGAGGACCCTTTGAAATGCAGCTGGTGGAGGGTCCTCTTTCCGGATCTGTGTGCTCTTATATGGGAACTTCACTGCTTTTCCGGGCCTAATTTGTGAAACAGGAGATTCTGTGGCCAATGAATCAGGAATCACCATTGAGGAAGCCCCCTATTTCCACAATGCAAATGAAGGGGAGCAGAGGTCTCTGAATTCAGTAGGTCTAATGCATTCCTGGGGATTTGGAGAAGGGGAGGTGGCAAACCCAAGGGAAGTCGGTCAGGGCTTCCATTAGTGACATGCAGAGACTCAGCTGGGGACCAGGGACTGAGACAAGCATGGGGTAAGGCAGGTGCTGTGAGGGGGTCCTCGGGGAAGGCCCTTGGGAAGGGACTCAGGCCAGAGCTGGTCTTGGGGCCCCTCCTCAGGATCCTATCTGGGAAGCAGAGGACTGGGTTCTGGGTTCCCTACAGTGGCTAGGCTGGGCTGAAGCTGGGCAGGCAGCAAGCGCTTCAAGGGCCTCACCAGGGTCCCCAACCTGAAGCAGCAAAACCTTTAGGGGAACTGTAACACCTGGAGTCAGAGGCCCGTGGCTTGGTCACCTCGGGGAAATGAAGCCCTGGTGTCTATATGGTTTCTTTTTTGTTTTTGTCTTTTAAAATGTATCGATTGATTGATCTGAAATGCAGGGAGACAAAAAGGGAAAGGCACAGAGAGACAGAGCTCTTCCATCTGCTGGTTCACTCCCCAGATAGCTGCAATAGCCCAGGTTTAGGCCAGGCTAAAGCCAAGATCCAGGAGCTCCATCCTGGTCTTTGACAAGGCACAAGCACTTGACCCTGTTCCGCAGCCTCTCTGTGTACAAGAGCAGAGAGCTAGGTCAGGAACCGGGACTCAAACCCATGCTCCCACAATCAACTGGCATCACAATCGGCAGTTTAACTCACTGTGCTATTTAACACCTGCGCCTATTTGAACATTGTCTATAAAAATGGAACTTACAACTCAGGTCAGCCGCAGTCCTAACCCTGACTCTTTATCCCCATGTTCTCTTGAGAGTGCATGACCAGCCCCCCACCAATAGGTTACAAAGACCGAGTTCTCAGGGTGGGTGGTGGGGGTGGTGGGGGAGGTTGTCCTTACATCTGAAGGATCAGGGGACGCCTTGGGAAGGCACCAAGCCCAGGGCACCCCCTCCTGGGAAGTCAGCACTGGGCTGGGGTGAGGCAGGGCAGGCAGGTCCGAGCAGTCCAGGAGGAGCTCTGCGGGGAGCAAGGGCCGGACCCCGGGCGGTCATGCGGAGCTGGAGATGGGCCACCCCACACTTGGGCCCCATGCCTGCTCCCTTGCTGTATCCAGTTACGGCCAGTTCGGCGTTTCCTGGTCACGCCACATTTAGCATCACCGAGTGAACAGGCACGGGACTTGAGAAGGAGCTGCAGGGACTCTTACAGGGGCGGGAGAGCCTCCCCCGAGGAACCCACCTGGACCCCACGTGTCAGTTCTCTCTGACACTGATTCTTTGTGAGTCTTGGAGCCAATCCCCTCTTCTCTGTGCCCTCCTCACCTCCTCAGTCAAAGAAAGGAGATGGTTTACTGAGCAAAGACATGCCTGGCTCAGGATGGACACCGTCGACCCAGAGGTTCCCAGGGTAGCAGTATTGGGACTGGCACAATCCCTTGCCCTGATTCAAGGGGGTCTTGAGCACGAGAGGCAAGTGTGAGCCTCAAGCCTTGCTCCCAGCTTACCCTACCCCAACCCTGACCCTGACCTCTGCCAAGTAAAGAAACTGTAAGAATGTGCAGACTCAGATCTGAGTTAGAATCCGACTCTGCCGAGTCCTGGCAAGTCCCATAGGGATTCTCACATTTGGTGTCCTTCAGTGGACAGTGGGGCTAATAATGTGCCCTCCTGGTGGATTGGTTCTGATGAAGGCATGAGGAAGCCATCCCAGTCCTCTGCCCAGGGGCCTGTCCCTTAGTAAATGGTTGCTTTGATCAGAGGCCACTACAGAGAGGGGAGAGGAATAAACTCAGGAGCAGCTGCTGTTTGCATGTGAGGGGACACACAGGCGAGCCAGATGGAAGGTGCCACCACAGGACAAGGGCCCAGCCCGTGCTCGATACTCTGTAGACATGCTTCCATTTGATACTCACCATAGGCCGGTGAGGGAGGCCCTGTCACTCCTCCTAGCAGTGCAGGTCGTGCTGTCCAACCGCAGAGAGCTTTGCTGACTCAGCTAGTCCAGAAAGGCCTGGACTGGCTTTGCATTCTGAGTTCTCCTATCCACCCCCACGGAGCTGGGGATAGGGTGGGTTCCCAGGAGAGGAAGGCCTCAGGCTAGCCATCAGTCAGCCCAGGCCTTTGGGTCTTCATGGGAAGTCTGGAACTTCAAAAGGGGCAGGGACCCACACCAAGTTGCAGGTAGGAGAGTTTGGAGGATGCACTTGCAAACACTCTTGCACATCTCTTGAGGGGGTAGGATGCGGAGCCAGCTGGCATCTTCACTGTGGGCTACCAGGCAGCCAGGACCCCCTGAGGTGCCCAGATCCTGCTGTATTCATGCCAAGCCAGGCTCAGGACCCAAGAGTCACAGCAGAGGCCCTGCCTATGCTGATGGCTGTGTCACCTGCCTTGTAGGGATTGCTCCAAGCCCAGACCTGGACTTCAGGTAGCCACAGCTCTTCCTTCTCCCCACCCTCTGCCCAGCTCTTCCCAGGACCTGCCCAGCCACTAGACAGAAAGACCTGTCCAAGTTACCTCACCTGGTCCGTGATGATAGAGGAGACTGAGTGGAATTGCCAGAAGCAGGGTCTCCCTGGATCAGGGCTCTGCAGGAGCAGAACTCAGGGACAGCCATGCCAGTGCGCTCTCTCTCTCTCACTCTGTCTTTCCTTCTCTCATGTCTGCCTCTCTTGCTCTGACCCCTTATCACCACTTGGCCTAGGCTGGGAATGGAGTGGGGGTGGTAGGGTGGGGACTGGGGTCGGCCCCTCCTGGACGCTGGTCCTCCCTCTCATCGTAGCCGGCTTTCTTCGAAGCCAGGACTGGGTGATGGTGTCACTGCTCCCGCCACAGTCTGACGTCGCGCTGCCAGGCACCGCCAGGCTGGAGGGCGATCCCCAAGGGGACCTCATGCAGGCGCCGGGCCTCCCTGCCTCTCCTGCTCCACAGAGTGTAAGTACTTGGCTCTCAAGCTTTGGGCTGTGGCTATTCAAGCAATAGGGGACCAGTCACCACACCCTACAGATCTGACTTAGAGTCTGGCTTATCCCTTCCACCAGCAGACAAGTCCTCAGGGATGCCGAGAACCACAGGCCTCTGCTCACACTGAGCCTGGCACAGGGGGTGAAGCCCCATGAGACTTGGGGCATCATGCGCAGCATTCCCCACCCCCACCCTGTCAATCAGGGGTGCCAAAGACATGTGTGCCTTCCCCATCATTTGAGAGTTGCCCAGAGCTCCATCTCAGAACCCTCAGCCCAGCATAGAGCAGCATGTTGGCAGACCCCGGAGCCTGCCCCCACACCTCTCCCAACATGGGCTATCTTCCCTCTGTCTTCCCAGAAGCACGCCAACTTCAGCTGCTCATCATTTGTACCTGACGGTCCTCCAGAGAAAGCCCCCTCCCTGCCCCCACACAGCCCCAGCATTGCATCGCCAGGCCCTGAGCAAGCCCAAAGCCACTGCCAAGCAGGTCCAGGCCCAGGACCCTTCCGGCTCTCACCCTCGGACAAGTATCCTGGCTTCGGCTTTGAGGAGGGCACAGCCAGCAGTCCAGGCCGCTTTCTCAAGGGCAACCACACGCCTTTCCACCCATACAAGCGGCATATCCACGAGGATGTCTTCCCAGAAGCGCAGACTGCGCTGGCCCTTGACGGACACCCTTTCAAGGCCCCAGGCTCGCTGGAGGCCTTCGAGGAGATCCCAGTGGACATGGGGGAGGCTGAGGCCTTCCTGCCTGGCTTCCCAGCCGAGGCCTGGTGTGGTGGGCTTCCCTACACAAGCCAAGAGCACAACGCCCAAGTCCTGGTGAGTACCAACAGCTAATGGGTGTCTTGCTTCCTGACGGCCTGGTAAAGGTTCTTTGAGTTCCCCTGCTGCTTGTTCCAGACTTCTGCTGCTCCAGATGGGCTTGCACCCAGGAAGCCACATGCTCAGAGAGCAGGTTGGAGGGAGCAGGTGTTCCCTGGCTTCATGCTGGACACTCATCTACTGTGGTGGGGGCAGGGGAGGGCGGTGATGGTGGCCTAGAGCAGCACAAAGGGAGCCAGGTCGGGGAGGCAGGTCAGGCTAAGGAAGCTGGCAGCCTCCCAGGGCTTCCTGAGTCAGGATTCCAGCCTGAGACTTCTCTGTAGAAGCTTCAAGGATGCCCAGCAAGCCCCACCCACCCATATGCAAATGTGAGAAGGAAGCACATTCCAGGGGCTGAGAAAAAGGGTTGAGGGAGGAGCCACAGAGGCCAAGTCTCCCCTTTCAGCCTCACTATACAGAGCTGACATTTGCACAGGCCGAGGCCTGGGTGTGTCTCTGGAAAGACCTCGAAAGCCACCTAGGAAGGTCCCAGTGTCCTGGCAAAGCTATACCTCCAGCTGTGTGTACGGTCTTGGACAAGCCACTAAACCTCTCTGGGCCTCTCTGGAAAAGTCAGGCTAACAAGAGGTCCTTAGAGTTGCCTTGGGAAGAGGGAAGCTAAGAGGAGCTTGCTACCTGCTTCAACTCCCCGACCTCCAGTACTCAGCCCTGATCTGGAGGAACCCAAGGCAGTCTCCGACTGGGCCTGGCCTGGACCAGCACGCATCAGCTCAGGGGGCCTCTGTCTGGGTAACCTTGGCCACATCATTTCCCCTCCTTGGGCTCAGGGCCATCATCTGTCAAATGAAGGGGTTGGACACAGTTGATCTCAGCCCTCGGAGGCCCAAGATTCTGTGATTATGACAATCTCAGCATCAGCCACCCCAGGGCACACCCAGGAAGAGGTGACAGCTGATTGGCCCCTCTGGGCCTGGATGCTGGTTTCCCTAGGCCCCTGGGGAGCCTAGGAAGAGTGACCCACCTCTGGGGACCCAGCTGCACTTGCTCCTGTCTCTCTTTGGGGTACAGCTCCATGTTAAGTCCCTGGTACTCTGTGTGGGCCTCACGAGACCTCTGGCCCTCCCTTCGCTTTAGCACGCACATCACCATGTCTCCTCTACTCCTCTGGACAGCTCAGCCTCAGCGGTTTACCTACAGTGGGCTGGAAGGCAGGGAGGCGCACTTCCAGTAGCTTCAGCTGCACGGTCCACTTGCTGAGTTCCTTTGAGGAAATGTTTGTACTCCTCTGCCTTCTGTCCATTCTTTAGAGATGAGCTTTGGGAGGGGAAGGTGGAGAAGTTGTTTTTGTATAAGGTTCAGGACACAGGAAAGAGGAAGGGAGAGAAATAAATACCCAACCTGGCCGTCTACTTTCTCTTCCTACAGGGCTCAGAGGTGAAGGTCAAGCCCCCAGCTCTGGAGAACGGCCCTGGGATGTACTGCTACCAGCATCCCTTGCAGCACGTGTACTGCCCTTCCCAGCCCCCCTTCCACCAGGTGAGTCTGGGGCAAGGGGGTTCAGGATGATGTGTAGGTGTGCACATTTGGATGTGCAGATCAGGGTAGCAGGGCTCTGATCCTCAGGCTGGAACACCAGGAGCAAGGGACGGGCAAGGCTTCTCTGAGCCCCCAGTAGTGCCTAAGAGATCTCAAACAAGAGAGTGGGGGCTGAGATTGAGGCAGGACTGTAATGTGAACCCAAAAGGGAGGAAAAGGAGGAGCTACCCCAAAGACAGGGCCAAGAGAGTATATGTGATATATGATACAAGGTCAGCAGGCCAGAGAGCCATGGGCTCGCGTGTGAGGCAGCTAACCTTCTTGAGCTATGACCTTGACCTAGAGAGACTGCACACTAGGTGTGGGGCTAGGGAGTCCCAGCATCCCTGGCCCTTCCCACCCTAGTGCCCAGCTTCAGCTCCTCCCAAGGGTGCAGGATGCCAGGTAATCGTCCCAAACTGGCATGGGCTGGAGGTTTTCAAAAAGAGAAAGAAAAGAGCCCCAGAGCAGCCAGGCAACTCTCAGAGTCATTGGGCAAGACACAGCAAGTGACTGCCCAGCGCACGGCTCCATCCACCTGCAGCCTGGCACCAGAGACAGGCCCTGCCTGTGGAGCAGGTTCTACTCCCAGCTCTGTGCCACTGGTCCTGATCTTGGCCCAGCCATGGAAGCAGGCGGAGGGGAGGGCAGTGGGGGAAGTTGGGGGAGTTGGCTGCCCTGCTTTGTGAGTCAAAGAAAGAGCTGGAAGGAAGCAAAGGGAGTACAGGCAGGGCACATTCTCCCCAATCCCAGACCGGAGGGGCCTGGTTAGGACAGCTGAAGTTATCCCAAGGCTCATGCGTGTCCCTGAGGCAGCCTGCCCAAACTGGGGCTGAGACACAGCAGGGCTAAGAAGCCACTAGTCCTCAGATGGCCTCACCATGCCTATCCCTGCTTTGATGCCCTCTGCTGTCTGCACCCCCTCCCCTAACAAGATGGCCGCACCCAGGGCTTTATGGAGCCTGGAGAGAGGGTGACTCAGGCACTAAGTGTCTCTCTGGTGACCTGGAAAGAGCCCTTCAGCCTGGAGCAGCTGGGGGAGTGAGAGTCTCCTACCCCCTGCCCCAATAAAACACCATCCCTGGCACCACGGCCACGCCTTCACCGTAAAACCACCTCCCACCTGCACCTGTCCACCACCATGACCGGCTCTTTCAAAGAGCCACTGAAACTTGTAAAAGGTGGCAGTGCCCAGCAAACACCCAGGCTGGACATCCCATTTCCAGCCCAACTGCGCCAGAGAATGGAAGGAAGACCTGGATCATCCAATGGTCAGGGACCAGGTCCTCTCATCACCATGGCAACTTGGACATGTCCAGGGCCAAGAAGTGGGAGCTGAAGAGAGTTCTTTTTTTTTTTTAAGATTTATTTTATTTTTATTACAAAGTCAGAAATACAGAGAGGAGGAGAGATACAGATCTGTCCGATGATTCACTCCCCAAGTGACCGCAACAGCCGGTGCTGTGCTGATCTGGAGCTAGGAGCCAGGAACTTCCTCCAGGTCTCCCATGTGGGTTCAGGGTCCCAAGGCTTTGGGTTGTCCTCTACTGCTTTCCCAGGCCACAAGTAGGGAGCTGGATGGGAAGTGGAGCCGCCAGGATTAGAACCGGGGCCCATATGGGATCCCGGCACGTTCAAGGCAAGGACTTTAGCCACTAGGCCATGCCGCCAGGCACGAGAGAGAGTTCTTTAAGGCCTCAGCATTGACCTCCGCCCAACCCTCCAATACTCACATGGCTGCCAGCCCCTCGGACGCAGAGCCATGCTTCCTCTGGATGCTGATGGGGCCTCTTAGCTGCATCTTCTGTAAATGAACCACCTTTGACCTCTGCCCCTTTGCCCTCTGCAGTATGTGCCAGGTGGTGGCAGTTACCCAGTGCCCTACCTGGGTTCAGCTCACTACCCTTACCAGCGGATCGCACCGCAGGCCGGCACTGATGCGCACCAGCCGCTCTTCCCTAAACCCATCTACTCCTACAGGTACCTTCCCAAACACTCCTGGACCAAAGGGAGGAGCGGGGGGAGGGACCCCATGGGGAAACCGAAGCATAAAATCCTCAAGGTCCAAGGGTAATGGTTAGGAGTAGAAGCTGTACCCAGTGGGCTTCCAGAGATGAACAAGGGATTGCTGCTAGGAGCAGAGAAATAGGGTGAGCTTCCATCCAACCCTGGGGACTCAGGGCTATGGCTCAACTGTACAGGTGCTGGTAGCCCAGGGACAAGCCTGCTGACCGTTACACTCCTGTACACGGGGCCTGGAGTTGCCTTGTCCCCTGGCCCCCCAGACGTAGAGGGAAGCTGGCACTCCAAAGCTTTCCAGCAAACAAGGCATGGACAGGATGGCAGATGAGCTTCTGTTGTCCATCATCTTTTGCATCTGCAGAGACCTCTCTGGGCAGGGTTCTAAGAACTGGCAGCACCCAACCTGTCTTGGAGACCCTTCTCTCTGTGCTTGCATTTATCCAGCCCATGGGGCCTCTTGACCGAATATGTGCCAGGCCCCAGGTGGTGGCCAATTCCACAGTTAATGCAAGCTCAGTGGAAGGAAGAGGAACTTAAACATCAGCCAGAAGCCTCAAGGAAGGGTTTGTGGGAGGGAAGATGATGTGTATACAGAGAGGAGAGCAGGTGGGCCTCGTGGGCCAGCAGAGCTGGGTTCAAGGGCAGGCTTTGGAATTTACTGGCAAATTACCTCATCTTTCCAAGTCTGATTATTCATCTTTCAAAAACCGAAAAAGGTCAGGAGGACAGCAGTCCAGGCTGCCGAGAGGGTTAAGCCACAGGGTGTGAACATAGGCCCAACCCCTCATGGGGAGCTCCAGCCCTCAGCCTTCTCATTCCTGTCCACCAGGCGTGCAGCTGAGGGCTGCCAATTCCTGCCTACTCAGCGCCATCCATGTGCAAGCATCACCCCCTGCCTCACAATTCTGAGCGTACAAGGGAGTGGAGGCCCCAGAGGTGCAGGCTCGCACCCACAGTCTCAGAGCTGATAAGCAGCTGAGCCAGGAGGGCAGCCTAGGGTTTCTTGCTTTTCACCAGACCCTAGCACAGCAGCGATTCTTAACATCAGCCTCCACTCTCACACTCTCTCCTCACAGCAACTCTCACTGAGGGTTGGGGTGGGTGCAGCCCCTGGACAGAGATCCTGGCTCTCAGAGACTTTCTCTCTCTTCAGCATCCTCATCTTCATGGCCCTTAAGAACAGTAAAACCGGCAGCCTTCCTGTCAGTGAGATCTACAACTTCATGACGGAGCACTTTCCTTACTTCAAGGTCAGTCCGTGGTCCAGCTGCACCCTACCGCCCCTCTGGGAGCTTGGGCAAGCTCTGCCTCTCTGCAGCCAGATGGTTGAGCCCAGAACCAGCGGCAGCTAGCAAAGGACAGGCATCGGAGCAGAGAGCTCAGGCTCCCGCGAGGCTGCAGAGGAACCTGGAGGAAAGGGGACATGGTAGCCCATGGGGGGCTTCAGGGAGCAGCCACCCACCCAATGGAGGGGTGGGAGAAGAGCTTGGGGAAGACATGAGACACTGTCTCCACTCCTGCTCCCACGCTGGAGAGTTGGGAGGGCGGGCAGAGCTGGCCACTTGAGTTGTCAAGGTGCTGGGGCCAAGGCTGCCTTGCAGGGTGAGATTAGGATCAACCTCTGTGGGTAGCAGACTGAGCTGTGGTTCTGCCAGAGAGCAGGGTGTGGGCTTCCCAACCTCCAAGTGTCCCAGGAGATTGGCTGGCTCATCCACCTTCCCTCTTCCCCACCCCGACCCCTTGAAACAGGACCTGTTCCTGTCCTCCACAAAGGGAACTTCAGGGGCCTCAATCCTACTCTCTTCCTGGAGGCAGGCCAGGCAAACACACGGGACAAGTTGATCCATCTGCCCCAGGTCCCTCAGCAAGCGCATCCAGCCATTAGCTTCCTGGACCCTCCACTTCCCCTCCAGCACAGACTGCTTCTCCAGGGGCAGGCACGGAGGAGACTGGAGCCTTCTCTGGCTCCTGCATGCTGAGAGCTGCCATCTTAACTGCCACCCAGGCAGAGAGCAGGAGCTGGGTAGTGCCTGCCTGACTGCACCTGCCAGCTGGCAGCTCCTGCCCCATCAACTCCCTGGCTGTCCCAAACAAGAAATAATTGCAGCCAGCCAGCATGTGCTTGCTGAGGAGTGGGCAAGGCGGCGGAGTGCTCTGGCCAGGCATGGGGATGTGTGTGGGTCCCTGGAGGGTCTGGAAAGGAAAGAAGGTAGGAAGAGACTTGGATCCCTCAGCCCCTGGCACATCTAGGGGTCAAACTCTGTCTGATCCCTCCAGCTCTGGGGGCTTCCTCTGGGGCTGCAAGGGGCCAGGCCAGAGAGAGAGGGATGAAGACTCCGCCCACTGCTCTCAGCCGGTCTTCCCACCCTTCTGGCCAACTCCCAGCCAGCGCCCCCCTCAGCCCCTCCCTGCAGCTCATCTTCCTGCCTTAATTATTTTTCCTAGGAGCCGTGTAATCCCTGTTTTATGGGACTGAAGAGTGAAGAGGTCTAACAGCTTTTTTTTTTCTTGTGGTTCTTGTTGTTGTTCTTAGCCAGTTGCCTCACCCCCGAGTTTACTTTGGACTTCAGAGGGAAAGCATCTATGCAGATGGGACAGGCCCCAGCTGGAGAGGCCAGTTCCATGGGATAACCCAGTGGGGACTCTCATCCAGCTTAGTTAGGGGGCAGCATTGGGGTCTAGGCTCTGACCCTTCCTCCTTGGATGACCTAAGGTTAGATAATCTCTGGCCTCAGTTTTCCAACCTGCAAAAATGGGTTGGACCCATCAGTGCATCGATCCTTCTATTCTGGCAGTGCCCCTCCCACCAAGCCAAGGAATGAGTTCAAAGATCCCCTGCCCCCTCCCTCTCTCACTTCCCATTTGAAGGTTGTTTTTTTCCAGCACAAGTGGACCTGAAGTGGACAGCCCCAGTCACGCCCAAGGCAGTTGATGTGGGCGTCCCAGAACCCCATGAGTCAGGGATGTGGGGCTAGGGAAGTGACCAGCCACTGGACATAATTGTTAGTGCTGACCATTCATCTTCCAAACAGGAAGTGGCTGGGGTGGGGGCTGCCCTGGCATCCTAAAGTCACCGATTTATAGGGCTATAAAAGCCCCAGTGCCTATTAACCCTGCCCATGGGGCGACAGGGCCTCAACTCCTCGCAGAAACTGTATCCTCAGCTACCTGCTCTGGTGGTCCCTGGGGATCAGGGGGTTCATTACCATCAGCCCCCTCCCCAGCCAGCTGTTCCCCCTTTCCAAGAAAGGTCCTATCAGCCCCCGTCAGCTGCTCCCCATGACGCTGGCATTAGGGCCCGGTTCTGCAGGGCATGATTCACCTTGGCTTCTCCCTGAGGCAAGAGAGCTGGGGAGCAGGGAGTGGCTGCTCCTACTTAAGCAGGGACCTGGGCTGAAAGGATGAGGGGGCAGAAGCCCCACCGGGCAGAGCGGGTACTGTGCCCACACTCAGCCCCTCTGGGCTCAGGACTGACATAGAGCCTGGAGAGGGAAGAGGGGAGGGTAGGCAGGGGGCCCTCCACTGGCACCCCCGCCACCGCCTCTCACCCAACTGAGTCAGCCTAATGGTTTTTACAACCCTCCCTGGGCACAATTACTGCACTGGTGGCATGACCAGGCTGCCTAATGGGTGTTTATTCTGTTGGCACGAGCACCTCCTGCCTGAGGCCTGGCCTCCCCACTGGGACACACCCCCTGGGCACACTCACATTCACACACACGCCTACCCTTCACATAGTCGTGGGCACTCACACACATACCTGGGGAGATTTTCTCACACTCAACTGTCCACATTCACAGGGGACACCGCCAGCACCAGCCAGAGGCACTGAGGGCAGACATGGGCACAAGCTCACTATACACGCTCCCCCCACACCCAGCCCAGTGCACTGTGACATCTGTGCCACACACACCTGCCCAGTCACCCTCTGTCCTTGCTCCTCCTTCTCTGCCAGTCAGGCCCAGAGGGGTCAGGAGACGGAGTCTCTCTGATGCCCTTTCTGAGGCTGGCACAGGAGAGCTCTGGAATAGCAAGTTGCCTGTCCCCAGGGGTGTCCAGCAGAGGCCTGACCACCCAGTTGAAAGTGAACCAACTTCGGTCAAGCCATAAAGCAGGGGGCTGCAGCATGGATCACCCTAAACCCCCCTCCCTGGCTTTCGGAAGGGGATCAGATAAAGGCAGATTTTAGGGAGATTTTGTGGTCCAGATTCCTGCTCACCCCTTTGCCACCACTGAAAAGTATCAAGCACATGCTGAATGCTGGAGAGAGTGATAGATAGCAGGTGCCAGCTCGGTACCCAAAGGGGCCAAGGAATGTTCCAGAACCCATATCTGGAGCCAGTCCAGCTGCCTTGCACCAGCCTAATTTCTTGCTTTGCCTGGCTCTGGCAGACAGCACCTGATGGCTGGAAGAACTCCGTCCGTCACAACCTCTCCCTCAACAAGTGCTTCGAGAAGGTGGAGAACAAATCGGGCAGTTCGTCTCGCAAGGGCTGCCTGTGGGCCCTCAATCCAGCCAAGATCGACAAGATGCAGGAGGAACTGCAGAAGTGGAAACGGAAAGACCCCATCGCTGTGCGCAAAAGCATGGCCAAGCCAGGTGAGGCTGCCAGGCCATGCCCAGGAGGACCCAGAAACCAGTGCGACACGGTCTGAGTGAGGGTGCCAGGGCCGGAGGGGGCAAGGGAGGAGGGAGCTCTCACTGTGTTCCTTCTCTTGGGCCTTTACAGAAGAACTGGACAGCCTCATTGGAGATAAGAGGGAGAAACTGGGCTGCCCGCTGCTGGGCTGTCCGCCCCCTGGGCTGGCAGGCTCCAGCTCCATTCGGCCACTGGTTCCTCCAGCTGGGCTCTCCCAGCCACTACACTCACTGCACCCAGCTCCAGGCCCAATTCCTGGCAAGAATCCCCTGCAGGACCTGCTGGGAGGAGGACAAGTGCCCTCCTGCTATGGGCAGACGTATCCACACCTGTCGCCGGGCCTGGCCCCACCTGGACCCCCACAGCCATTGTTCCCGCAGCCAGATGGGCACTTGGAGCTCCGGGCCCAGCCAGGCGCCCCTCAGGACTCGCCTCTGCCTGCCCACACCCCGCCCAGCCATAGCACCAAGCTGCTAGCCGAGCCCTCCCCAGCCAGGACCATGCATGACACCCTCCTGCCAGACGGAGACCTCAGCACCGACCTGGACGCCATCAATCCCTCTCTCACCGACTTTGACTTCCAGGGTGAGCTGGGGCGGCCCCTTCCCTCTGAGTCCCCTAGCTTTCGGATCAGCTGAAGCAGAGAACTGAGAGTAGCAACAAGGAACATCCTTCCCCCTTCGCTGTAGCCTTCCTCAGTCCCGGCCCCACTGGACATGTCCCAGTTAACCCCATCTTCAAGCCACTCTCAGCTCTGGCTCGATTGGATGGGGCTCTATGATTTGTTCTGTACTCGACTGGGAGGGCCTGAACATTCTCAGTAGCCTTTGCGTCTATTAGAGCTGGTCTTCTAATGCAGAGGAGCCACAGAGGAGCCCATGGGAGTGGGAGACGTCAGAGTTGGGCAGGCCTGGAGAGATTGAGGATAGCTGTGAAGACAGGATCCACCAGTCCCACCCCCTCTTGCCTGCCCTTTCAACTTAGCTGAAAAGTTGGTTATGAATGGGGTGCAGGTAGCCAGGGTCATGCTCTGGACTCCATGGTCCTGGGCCCCAGCTTGCCATGATGCAGGTCACATGACACAGAGGGAGCAGGTGCACTATTCTCTCCCTGGTACTGCTGCTGTCCACCAGGGCCTGCCATGGAGGCCGCCCAACGAGATATGTCCGTCATACCAGCAATGCATGGTGGGAAAATCCTTGGCCTGGGCTACAAATCTACTTCCTCGGGAGTCTCTGCAGGGAGCAGCAGGAGGAGCTCCTGGGGTCTCCCAGGCTGTCCTGGAGGGCAGGCTATTCACAGGCACCCTTTTGGTGGGCATTTCTCAAATCACTAACCCTTTGCAGTACCTTCCCCACAACCTCTAGGTCACCAGGGTCAGATTGTGCCACATGGGAGGAGGAATCTTAGGGTCAGAGAGGGTCAGCATGTGCCAGAGCTCACACAGCTAGTGCCAGTCCTCACCCCATTCCCCTTTTCTCTACTACCCATCAAGAGCTTGGAGAGGGGAGCGCTAAGGGGCTTCTCAGGTGCCTCCCGATGACACCTCTTCTCTCCCCCCCCAACTAGGAAACTTGTGGGAACAGTTGAAGGATGACAGCTTGGCCCTCGACCCCCTGGTGCTGGTGACCTCATCCCCGACGTCGTCTTCGATGCCACAGCCTCCTTCAGCCCCCCACTGCTTCCCCCCAGAGCCCTGTTTGTCAGAGACGGGCAATGGGGCAGGTGACTTGGCACCACCAGGCAGTGAGGGCTCTGGGGCCCTGGGAGATCTGCACCTCACCACTCTGTACTCAGCCTTCATGGAGCTGGAGCCCACACCTCCCACGGCCCCCGCTGGCCCCTCCATGTACCTCAGCCCCAGCTCCAAGCCCATGGCTCTGGCCTGAGCTCTGCCTGGCGTCAGCACCAGCCTCCACCTGGTCTTGAAGTCCTGGCTGGTTGCCCACATCGGGCCCCTCTAAAGGTCAAGGAAGGAACACATACTCCCTGTCCCTTCAGTCACTCAGTCTGTCAGCTGGCAGCTGGGGCATCAAGGACAACCCTCAGGACGTCGCCCCTCACTCATTGCTGCCGCTGAAGAGCTCGCATCAGAGCCCAAAGAAGAAAACAGCAGTCGGCCCGGTTCATACCCACCCACATTCAGCCCTTGAGCACACACATGTACCCACTTAGGGTCATTGAGACCCACACCACCCACGTGCCAACCCCCAGACTCGCCCACCTGGGCCCTAGAGAACCTTGGCACAGCTGCATATGTGGGGGGCTTGGATGGCCAGAAGCCCCGGTCCTCAAGCCGTCGTGAGAGCTCCCACTGGAATCCCATGCCCACATCCATGTGGGGCCTGGCCCCACCCCCATCCTGTGCTTAAACCTGTATTTATTCCCCCATCTTCCTCCCAAGAGCCCAGCTGGGGGAGGAGCCAGAGAGCTCCTCCCAGCTGGCTGTTGTCACCCCTGGCCTCCAGAGGAAGCACCTCCTGAGAAGCCCAGGGCTGTGCCAGGCTCTGCCATCCTCAGCCTCCACTTTGCAAACCTCCCCCGACACCCAGGTGTAGCGGCAGCTTCTGCCCTGGGACCAACTGAGCCCAGTTGTGACATGGAGCATTCAGAAATGCCTTTGCCCTTGGAAACTTGAATCAGTACCCCCAACCCCAGGTGCTGGACAGGCTCCTCCAGGTCACTACTATCTCACTCCTCCTTATAGTTTAGGTCATGGCTTACTCGCAGCTTCCGACTGTCTCAGGCAGCCTGGGCATTCAAAGAGGGGAAGCCTGGCCAGGCTAGCGGGCAGTTCCCATTCGCCAGGAAGCACACGAAGGAAGGATCCTGAAGTCCTGGGGGTGTGGCCCAGGTGCTGTCCATGCCCTAATCAAGAGCCGAGCCCCCACCGAGTGGGAGCCCCAACTTACTCCAGGAGCCTGTAGGTGATAAGAACCTCCTGAGGTTGGTTCATATGAGGCACCAAGCAGACCTCTCAGTGGCCTGCCATTGTCCCCCGCCCTGGTACAATAAAACAAGTGCCTTGTGGTCTCGCCTATGCAGCCTTCCTTTTGGGCTTCCCCTACCTCCACCGGGGTAGAAAGCTCAGGTCACCTGACAGTATCAGCCCTGGGCTGTGACATCACTCCCACCCTACCCTGAACTGTGAAGTCTTGCAAATCCAAAGAGGCATCCAGGAGGACTTCCTGACCAGGCTGGGGAGCTAAGGGAGCAGGTGGCAAGGGGACTTCTGCAGACATGTGAGGAGCAGAACACCCTCCCCCTGTCCCCACTCCTCCCCACTGAGATCCACTTGTCAATCTCCCCATGGAAGAAGGGGGCATTCACCCGACCAGGCTGTCCCTTCCCATGTGCTTTCTGTCCTTGGCTGGGAGAGATTCCAGGTCTGTGTGGGGTTCTGGGATCCACTAGTGCAGGAAGGAGACGCAGACTGGTGCTAGCCCCGGATGGTGGCCCCTGGAGGGCCAGGGACTCACTCAGTCCCACTTTAAGCCCAGTGCCCATGCGTGTACACTTCAGCCTCAAGAACCCAGCAGGTGTGTCTGATGCGCAGTTGGGGAGCTCGGGCAGGGCCTCTGCTTAGAAAGGGAGACCAACCTGCGTGGAGTGGGGGGATAGTTAACACATACTTCTAGGAGGACGGCTCTGCAAAAGATCTCGTTGACAGGATCCCAGCATCTGCCAGTGCCCTTTCTTCCCAGGCTCCAAGAATGGGTCCAAGGTCAAAGAGCTTGGGTGTGGTAGGGTGTGGGAGAAGGTATGGGCAACTGATATACTTGTGAGGAAGGCCTGCCTGCTCTCACCTGGCTTGACTGTCTAGCAAGAGGTCGAAGGCTCTCTGCCATCTCTACATGGTGTTGCACTCCAATCCTGTCTAGCTCTGGCCTGTGCCTTGAGCCCCAGGACTGTAGGGCAGAGCAAGAGTTTAGTGAAAGCTCTCTCCTGGAACCCACCTGCATGGCTCAGACACTGGGAGTCCAGACAAGCCTTTGTCTGGGGACCCCCAGGCAGAGAACAACTGGTCCAAAGAGTCCATAGGCTGTCTCATGGGCCCATTCGGCTGAACCCCAACACAAGGAAGACAGGTGACAAGCAAGCAGGTAGGACTTGGGGCAGAGTTTGTTGCTTGTTGGTGGCCCACTGGCCCTCACACTTGGAAAATGCAGCGCTCCGATGCTGCCCTCTGCTGGCCTCTCAGCGCCAGGCGTTTAACCAATGTTGGGCAAGCAACCTGTCCTGACTCTTCTCCCAATGGACATGGGATCTGCAGGCCCCTTATTTAGGAACATCAGTCCTTTGGCTCAGGGATTAGCAATGTGAGGATCGTAAAGCTGGTTCAATTTAACAGATTCATGGGGTCGACACCGTGGCACAGTGAGTTAAACCAACGCCTACAAGACTGACATCCTACATGGGCATTTAAAGCAGACATGGCACTGGCCTCTGTATTTCATATTCTTTTTTTAAAAAAATATTTATTTATTTTTATTACAAAGTCAAATATACAGAGAAGAGAAAATAGAAGAAGATCTTCCATTCAATGATTCACTCCCCAAGTGAACACAACTGCGCCAATCCAAAGCCAGGAGCCAGGAATTTCCTCCAGGTCTCCCACGTGGGTACAGGGTCCCAAGGCTTTGGGCCGTCCTCGACTGCTTTCCCAGGCCACAAGCAGGGAGCTGGATGGTAAGGGGGGCTGCCGGGATTAGAACCGGCGCCCATATGGGATCCTGGCACATTCAAAGCGAGGACTTTAGCCACTAGGCCACCTCGACAGGCCCTGTATTTCATGTTCTTTAAAAGATTTTTCTATCCACAGGTCTTATTAGATTGACCACAAAGGGACCGGTGGCATACCAAAAAGAAAGAGCCCTTGCTTTAGTTACAAGAGGTGGGGAAATGGTGGGTGATTCCTAGGAAAGAGGCCAGATGAGTGAGAAAGACTGTGGGCACTTGGGTAGGTGACTTTCATCAGCTGGAAGGGAAGCAACTCAGAATCCCAACACCTAGGGCGGTTGTTGCTGCAAAGTAAGCTGCCACCTGCAATGCTGGGAGCACATGTCAGAATGTCCATTCAAGGCCTGGCTGCTTCCCATCCAGCTCCATCCCTGATGATGAATCTGATCACTGGGAAAGCAGCAGATAACAGACTAAGTGCATGGCCCCTGCCACCAACATGGGAAACCAAGATTGAGTTCCAGGCTCCTGACTGACCTGGCTCAGCCCCAGCAGTTGCAGACACTTGGGGGTGAACTAGCAGATAGAAGAGCTCTCTCTCCCTCTCTGTCACTGCATTTCATATAAATAAATACTTTTTTTAAAAAAAAAAAAAGATTTATTTATTTATTGGAAAGTCAGATATACAGAGAGGAGGAGAGATAGAGAGGAAGATCTTCCGTCTGATGGTTTACTCCCCAAGTGAGCGCAACGGCCGATGCTATGCTGAGCCGAAGCCAGGATCCAGGAACTCTTCCCGGTCTCCTACATGGGTGCAGGGTTCCAAGGTTTTGGGCTGTTCTCCACTGCTTTCCCAGGCCACAAGCAGGGAGCTGTATGGGAAGTGGAGCTGCCGGGATTAGAACTGGCGCCCATATGGGATCCCGGCACGTTCAAGGCGAGGACTTTAGCTGCTAGGCCACACCACCGGGCCCATAAATAAATACTTTTTTTTTATAAAGATTTATTTTTATTATTATTTTTTTTCATTGGAAAGGCAGATATACAGAGAGGAGAGACAGAGAGGAAGATCTTCCGTCCGATGATTCACTCCCCAAGTGAGCGCAACGGGCCGATACTATGTCGATCCGAAGCCAGGAGCCTCTTCCGGGTCTCCCACGCGGGTGCAGGTTCCCAAAGCTTTGGGCCGTCCTCAACTGCTTTCCCAGGCCACAGGCAGGGAGCTGGAAGGGAAGCGGGGCTGCTGGGATTAGAACCGGCGCCCATATGGGATCCCGGGCGTGCAAGGCGAGGACCTTTAACCACTTGCGCCACCGCACCGGGCCCTAAATAAATACTTTTTAAACACATTATTTCTGACACCTGGTTTGGCCAAGTGTACCCTACAGGCAGCTCGGGAAGTCATGGGCCATGGGTTTCCCTGTGGTATCTGGGCTCTCCTGTCTGCCCAGCAAGCAGGACCCTCTGAGGAGTGACAAGAACTGGTCTGCTCCAAGGGAACAGAAGCCGAGATGCAGCTCAGCAAGGGATGTACCCCCTGAAGGGACAACAGCTGGCCAGTGTCTCAGCCAGCAGCAGCCTTACCTCCACTGGCTTTCCCTCCTTCTGTACTACCCAGGGAGCCTCCAGGTTCCTGGGGAAATAGCCAGGGACAAAATACAGCAAGTTGCACCCTTGCAACAGGTCCTGACCTGGCTGGCCCCAAGAGTTCAAAGGTGGCAGGGGGATGAGGGTCAGGACCCAGGCCTTTCTAGGCTGGGCCTCCCCCAAGCCCAGAGGATCCAGGCCTTGGCCCAAGATGGGTGCCAAATGGGAGCCTGCTGCAGGAATGAGAATGCAGAATGAGGGTCCTCCCTCCTGGCCTGTGCAGATGGCCCAGTGTAGACACTCGGCCTAGTTCCATGGAGCACTGCAGGGAGTACTCAGGCTAGCAGGGAGGTGGGGGAAGGGCTTCTTTCTCACTAGCAGCCACAAAAGCCTCATGGTAGGCAGTCTGCAAGCTATCACCCCCACCCTTGCTTCTTCTTGCACAACTGACCATTTCTGGCCTGCTAGCTTCTTGATAAGGTTCTTCCTTCCTCTAGCTTTTCCTACAGCTTCCTCCAAAGCAGGCTTCTTCTGTTCCTTGGCCATTCCTGTGCCACCATCTCCAGCTCCTCTCCTGTTCAAGGCTTTCAAATGCTGCCCTTCCCCAGGGTTACACCCTCTCATCCTAGGGTTTAGGAGAATTTGCAGGGTTTAGGGAAATCCCAGAAACTGCAGGATACTTGGCATTCCTGGCTCCTGCTCCCCAAACACCTGAGATGCCAGCCAAGGGCCCCACCAGCTTGGCCACCATCACAACTTCAACTGTCACCTCCAACAGCCACCATCTCCAGGTGCCATTCCCCTCTGGGTCTCAGGGTTCAAACTTCTTATCTTCTGGTCATTTCCTCCAGGACTCCATTAACACACTGTTGTTTGGCCCATCATGAGATCGTCATTTCCCACCAGCTCCCACCCCGATACAGCCTGGGTCTCCACGTCCAGTGTCCCCAAGCCCAGTGCATCCTGAATTCCAGGCATCAAGCCTGATGTCCCCCTCTCTGCCGGAGTCCTGCTCCAGCTGAGTTCGGAACTCGCGAAGGGTGCATGGATGAGGCGCAAAGAAAGAGAGAGAAAGAAAGAGACGGACCACTAGTAACTCTTCATCATCATAATGGACCACACACAAAAGCTGTCCGCTTTATTTATACAAAATCAGTCAAACTCTGGCTCAGACTTTTTACGTCATGGTCAAGTGGGTGTTTCCAAAGATAACTCTGCCATTTGTTTCACCTAAGGCTAGAATGTTAACCAACTGGTGCCTGGCTAGGAAAAGGTTTTCAATAGATGATGCATATCAGTCAGTAGCACATTCCTACCACAATTACTTTACAGCTAGGTCTTGAGACAGTCAAGGAAGGAAGGGACCTAAAAGATTAGCATAGGATCAAAAGGGGGAGTTAACACTCTTGATTAACATATTGCCACAGGACGCAGCCCTAACAGCGATAATAGCTCTTTGGCTGAAAACTAGCCACTAGCAACATTAGCTTCTAAGTTCCTACTGACGTTTAACAGTAACTCCGCAGAGGCAGGCAATGCCTGAATAGATTACAGAATTCTCAGTGGGGTTGTCTGGTGTCCATGCAAAGGGAGGCAGAGCCGCATTCAGGTGTTGTAGAGACATCCGCCAGGCCTTGCCACACAGCGGGGAGTTCCTTGCAACCTTGCCTGCAATGGAGCCATGCTCTTCACACCTTCCTGTCTTCCACCCCCATCACACGGACTCCAGCACCTCTCCAATCTGTCATCCAGTCAGCCACCAGTCCTGGGATTTTGCTTCCTAAGATCCCAATTTGCAGCGAGAAGTTGTGGTGCCAGGGATCAAGTTCCAACCTGGCTTCCAATCCAGCTTCCTGCTCATGTGTACCCTGAGAGGCAGCAAATTATAGCTCAAGTGCTTGAGTTTTTCACCCTCTTGGGAGATCCCGACTGACTTCCTGGCTCTTCATTTTGGCCTGGCCCAACCCTGGCTGTTGTGGGCATTTGGGAAATTTGGGGAGTGAACCAGAAGTTGGAAGATTTCTCTATGTGTTTCAGATAAAGGTCTGATTAGAACATAAAAAAAAAAAGGCCTTCATCTGTTTCAAAATTAGATTCTGGTCTCATTCAGGTTCAATTCTTTCCCTAGATTCCTACAAGTACCCTCCTCATTCTAGCATGGTAGTACACAGGGCTGTACCTACTTCTGTCACCTAGCAGCTGGGGAAGCCAGCCTCTCTGGGTCCACATCTTCTATAAAATGGGCACAGTTAACAATACCTTGCTCAGAAATGATTTAGCCATTTTGGGTTAACACAGGCAAAGCACCCAGCCAGATGTGGCATTCCTAATCTCAGGGAATTCCACTAGTCTCATTCTTCCTCCTGCATCCCATTCCCTCCTGACAGACGCTCTCAAATCCTGCCTCCTGGTGCCTACCGTGTCCTGGGTTTACCAGCCCTGTTCGCATGCTGCCTCCTCCACAAAGGCCCAGAACCCCACCATGCCCAGGCCACCTGGTTCTAGGTGGCCTGCATTTGTCCCCTGCATCGCATTTGTCTTAGAATCTAGGAGGGTAGAGATTGTGGCCGCCAGCAAGCCCTCTGCAGAACCAGCTGAGTTAATGCCAGTAGTTCCGCCATCCCTGGAGGGCAGGCTGCAGCAGGTGCATCCAGAGGTTGTGTGAACTGCAAGGTGAGCTCACTGCTGACCTCACCGCACCTTACTCTGGGCCCAGGACAGGGTTGGGGGCAGAAAGCATTGTCATAGGCTGGGTTGGCCAAGCTAGAGGGTAGAGGTGCAAAAGTCGGCTTCAGATCTTAGCCGAAGCCCTGCAACCTTTTCCAGTGGGTACTGAATGCAGTTCACCAGTGATCCCAGAGGTCTGGAGGTGCGGAAGTGGAAGGGAAGGACAGGGTAGAGGACGAAACCGCCTTCTCCCCCACACTGCCGATGGGGGCCTTTGCTTCTACTCTGCTACCAGGACTGGCTGTCTCCAGCATCACCCCCAGGAAAAGTCCTTTCCGGCTCCAGTACGCTCTGAATGCTGGCTCTGGATGGCTTCTACACAATGAACATGGAGTCAGAGGATGGGGGTGCCAGGGCACTGGGAGATGCGGAGACTGTTACCACCCTGAATGTGGCATTGCCTGCCCCCATCTCCACACACATAGAGGTGGTTCAAACCAGAGAACAGAAAAGGAGGAAGTTTATTGAAAACTCTGTACAACGGGTTCAGTTCCTACTACAGGCTGCAACCCAGGCCAGTCCCCCTGTCCCAACGCCCTGGGCTGTGTCTTGGCCTCCACTGGGGGAAGCCAGGGCTGGGGCCAGACCCCATGGTGGATCTGTGTCTGTGAACTCTGAACTCTAAACGGCCTGATGGTGTCACGGGCAGGGGACAAGCAATGAATCCTGCTCTGGCCTTGTCACAGCTAGAGAGGGGACCTTCTGAAATTATCTCTGCATCCAGGCTACTCTTCTCACAGGAGGCCTCTCTGGACATGGAAGCCAACAGCACCCTCCCCCTGCCACCCTATTCCCCTGCACCAGCCCTCTGAGGACTTTATGGGTGTAGACTATGCACACCAGGCACCCTTCCTCCCCAAAGTATTCAATGGTCAGGGCTGCACCAACACTGCCAAGGCAGAACAGCTGGGGCAGTGACAGTTCAGGGCCTGGAGCCCCCTGGGGTCAGGAGTGGCCGTGGGGGTCAGGGAGTCCCACTGTAGGAATAGTCTGCCTTGTTGTGCATCACCAGCCGGTCATCCACGAAGTAGAAGCTGTCAGACTGTGTCTCATATGGGTGACGGATCATCTCGCTGACTGCAAGAGAGACCCAGCCAGGCATCAGGAGCGGGGGGCGAGGGGAAAACAGGACAGCCAAGCAACCCCAGTTCCTGGCCACTCTGTCCCCCCTTGCTTTTCCTCCAGGTGACCCAGGAACCGATGGTACAAGAGACCCAGGCAGGACAGGAATTGGGGGAGCCCCACTGGCACCTCTTGCCCCACCCCCAAGCCCTGTCCACGCACTCAGCTCCTCAGAGAGCGGGGGAAAGTCGTAGATGTGCTCGCATGTGTTCTTGCTGCTGGGGATGCAGAAACCAAAGTGGAAGTCGAAGCTCTTGAGGAGCTGGTTGCGGAAGTAGTGCCGCTCAATCATGCGGAAGTTGTTGACCGGCTTCTCTCCCACCGTGAACTCCACCCTGAGCAGGAGGTAGGGCGGGGCAGTGTGACCAGCCAGCCACCCAGGAGGAAGGACTCCCCCTCCACCCTCTCCCTCGCTCCCAACCCCCACACCCCAGCCCAGCAACTCACGTGGCTCCCACCTGCCTCAGGCGGAGAAAGGCAGGGGTGAACTGGTAGCGGACAAAACGCCCAGCATTGGGGTCCAGGTCCCGCCGGTTGATGGGCAGTCTCTCTGCAATGTACCCAGGCTAGGGCTCAGTAGGCGTCAGACCCTTGTCCGCTCAAGCTCCCTCTCCTGGGAGAGTGCGTTCCACAGGAGGGTTTGCATCATTGGTCAAATGATGCCACTTGTGGGTTTTAGGTCGGATCTCCACTGAGGTTCTGTGGAACAACTGAGCCCACAAGTCTGGAGCCTCTGGGACTGCAGTTCCCCGGGAGGCCTGCAGAGAGCAGGCTGGCAGAGTCTGAAGGGAGATGTCCCAGTCCAAAAATGAAGGGCAAGGACAACAGGCCCGGTTGCCTGCAGATGCTGGGCAAGGCTGGGTCCAAGCATCTCTGCCCTGACTTCTCTGCAGCCCAGCAGATCCCTGCGCAGGGCTCTCCGCAGTGTCTGCTCACCTACCGGGCCTGCTCACCTGAGGCTGGGGGCTTCTTGATTTCAAAGAGGACAGTGCCAGAGTCCATGTCCCGAATCTTGAACCTGACGAAATCGATCTTGTAAATGTTCTCCTCAGGGGAGCACAGGTAGTCTGGAGGAGAAAGACAGCTGAGCAACCAAGGGCTCCCCCCTGCCCAAAGTCCCTGCTGCCTTTTTTGTGGGAGCCTGGACTAGCTGCCTCCTTTCTCCTAAGCCTGCCCCGCATGAAAGACACAGAACTCTGCCTAGGGCACCTCAAGCAGAATGAAGTGCTACTTCCTATCAGCCTCACAGGGTCAGGGATGGTGGGGGTGGAGAAGGAGGAGGACAAGGCCACCTCTCCCACTCTTTCCCTCCAACCCAGAGTTGGGGGCCCTGGACAAGACCTTGGCCAGGCTGGCTGGAAACCTGTATGTCAAATGGGCCCAGTCCAGTGGGGAGCTGCCAGCATGACAGGGGCCTTCCTTCAGGGACTTTTCTCTGATGGAGTTGACACAGCCACAGCCACCTCTGACACTATATCCAGGAGTGTAAGGCAGAGCTGGTTTTGAGAGGACTTTCCCTGACACGGGCAGTGGGGGAGGGTGCGAGGGGACGGGTGAACAACCCCTTGTCTGTCCCTCCTCCCCCACCCCAATCCTCAACCCTCTTCTTTCCCTTTAAGCAGCTTACACAAGCCCAGCTCCCTTAAGCAGCTTAGCCTAAGCTCTGCTGACTCAAGCTCAGAGCCTAGGGAACTGGGGGAAAGGGGCTCAACCCATGCTTCTAGGCCTGTTGATCTCCCAGTAAGAGGAAGTGGTGGCAGACAGGGGGAGCCTACTGCAAGGCCATCTATGCAGCCTTGGCTCTGAGCCACAGGCAAAGTCCTCCTGGACCCTGGACAGGAGGGGAGAGGGCTGAGGCCAGAAGAGGGTGTGGTGGGTGTAGCAGTGGGTGTGGGCGGGAGTTAGGGGCAATGCCCAGCCCCAAAAGGGGAACAGGCCCTGCTTGAGGCAGTTTGGGAACTGAGCCAATGCCCACTGTCCTGGCAGCACCACCTGCAGGTACTCGGGAAGGCAGTGGCAGGGGGTGGAGAGGAAAGTGGAATGCAATGAATAGGAAAGAGCAGCGTGGTGCAGAGGGGCTCTCAAGCTGTCATGTCACCCTGTATGGCAGCAATCCTCCCTTGGTGGACCCCGGGGCCCAGAAACCACTCACCAGGCCTCTGGGCAGGAAGAGGAAGTGAACACGGGCATTCCCTGTCTCTTGCCCAGGTTTGCCTCTTCTCCCTAGCCTGGACCAACCTCCTCCAGGAAGTCCTCCTGGGAAACCCTGTGGGACCTTCTTGGCCCAGCATAGCTCATACTGGGGCACCAAGAGGGGATGGAAGTGGGTGGACCGCATCTCACCCTGCATACACCTCCTATCCAAAGATGGTACATGAAGGTACTTCCAAAGCTTGTGGGAAAATGGAGTTAGATATTTGTGTACACTGGTGTGATGAAGATCCGAAACCCACACAAAATTATCCCTCTGTACTTCTTTTCCATGGACTGTGTGAAAAGCCCTTGGCATGGGAAGGGAAAGTGGTAGGGCTAGCAGCAGAATCCCAGGCCCCCCAGAAGGCCCTTTCTCCACCCCTCACTTTCCAATTTCACAGGCCTCTCTTAGTACTGGAGATCAACTTCTGGCAGGCTGGCCCTAGTTGCTCAGCCCACCAACCCCTCTGCAGTCAGAAGGTGTGCAGAACAGGGAGTGCTTGTGCCAGGAACACAGAGGCTACTCCCTCCCTACTGGGGGAGGATATGCCCAGCACCCAGGGTCAGAGAGGCCAAGGGCTCAGAACACCACTGTGCCCATCCCTGCAGCCACAAATAGCTGCCTAAGCTGGATTCAGGGCCTGGTAATCCAGGAACAGCAAACCACACACCTGTATGATTAGGGTCAGAAGAGACCAGGCCGGGGTGGCCAGACGGGCACGCAGACCCTGACCAGCACAGGAAGGGCTCCCGTGCATACAGACACCTCCCCCATCTGTCTCCCAATCTCAGGGACACACGGGAGAACCTGTGCTGGAAGCTCCCATCAAATGGCAAAATAAACCTTCAAGGCTTCCGAGGCTCAAAAGGTCCAGCCTGACCTCCAGCCCTTCCGTAAGGGAGTTGGCCCTGGAGCTAAGCTACATCCTAGATGCTGCCACTGCAGACTGCAGCCCGATCAGCGTGCCAGCATCAGCTCCCCCTCCCACCATGGATACCCACTTGAACAAGAGGGCTTGCGCTCAGGGCCCAGCCAAGGATGGCTGCTGCCTGGCTCTGAGCAGAGGGAGCAGGGTCCCTGGGGAGCCAGATGCACAGGCTTGGGCCTGCCACCACGGCCTCTGCACAGCTCTGTGCTCCTGCAGCCTAGCGCTCAGGGCCACTCCAGGGCCTGCCTCCCAGCTCTACACAGAAGCCCCTGCATCGCTCACAGAGGGAGCCAAGCCATGGCGCTGCTCAATGTGAACATGTGGAAGGCCACTGCCTCTCAAAGGCTGAGCCATGGCAGCCCCATGGCTGCAGAAGCCAGGGCAGCCCTGAGGGGCCCTTGGTGCCAGTTTGAAAGAGCCCTATTTGTGAAGTTGGCATGGCTCAAAGTCAGGTTCTTTATCTCCCTCACCACCTGATGGAGTTGGTGTCGTTGTCCCCATTATACTGATGGGGTACACATGCTCAGAGAGGTGTGGTCACTCATCTGAGGTCACACAGCCAGTTCTGTTGCAAGGCTGAGACTCCATCCTAGGCAGATCAGCTCAGGAATTCTTAACCAGTGCCACCCTGCCACCATCAGAGACTTGTGGGGGACAGGGGATATTAACCCACCCCCCACAACAAGGGTCTTGCCCACTTCCCTCTCTAGGCAGGGAGATGGGGTGAAGGAACCCTGGTCGGGGAGACCTCAGGATCTCACAGCCTTGAAACAGCCTCCATCTGGTGCCCAGTGTGTGATGAGGCTGGCCTGCACTCAACCCCTCTCCCTTCCTGCCCACGTGAGCCTCCCTGGGGAAAGGGTACCTCTGGCAGATGCTGCCCCACCTCCACCACAGGGAAAAGGGGATGGACCCCTGCGAGAAGAAGTACGTTGGAAATAAATCTCAGAGGAGGAAGGGGGAGCGCTCAGGGTGACCAGGGAAGCGGGATGCACGCAGATCTCAGGCTTGGAGGCAGAAGGGAAATGAGTAGAGTAGGGGACACAGGCGAGGGGTTGGGGGGAGGGGAGGGGCGCCAGGGGGCGGAAGCCAGGGCTCTTGCAGGGCACCCCCCTCACGCCCGCCTGCCCGCGGGTGGCGCTCCCTCGCCGGTGCTCACCGCCCGTGATCCGCTGTAGCCCCAGGACATCCTCCGGCCCGATGGGCTGCTTCCTCTGCAGCGGTCCCGGCCTGGGCCCCGGGCCTGCCTCCGGCTCCGACTCGGACCCGGATTCGGATTCAACCCGCGGCTCCAGGGTGGGCTCGGTGCTCCGGCCCGAGGTCCCCGGAGCGGGCTCCGCCCCCGTCCCGGCCCCGCCACCGCCGCCCTTCTTCACCTTCATGGCCTCTCGGGGCCGCGGCTCGCCTGCTGCCGCTGCCTGCGCCGGCTGGAGCCGGGGGGAGGGGGAGCGTCCGCAGCCCCGCCCCCGGCCGGGCCCCAGGTACCGCCCCGCCCCCAGGGCGGGCCCTATGTGGCCACGCCCACCGCCGGGCCCACCGCGGCTAGACCTGGGCTGCCCAGGCTTTCATTCATTCTCTCGGTACTTTTTCGAAGTATGGGGGGGGGGTCCTAACTACTCTTTGCTTGGGATCCTTTTTCACTGCTGGTTTCGTCTTATCCTTCTGTTCTCTCTCAGCTCAAATGTCACCCACTCAAGGCAGTCTTCCCTCCAGTCACTTTCTCATCAGTCTGCTCTTTCTGATCCACTACGATATGATTTTTTGTTCACGGACTCTGCCCCTGGAAAAGATCTGTGCAGTGAAAGCCGAGCTGCTGTCTGCTTTTTTCTTCGTCTTACACCAGTACCTAGCACAGTGCCCTTGGCAACGGCAGCACCAGCTATCCTCCCCTGGAAGCCTCGTCACAGGTGCCGCTCTTGGACCCTGCCTTGTGGGGGCTGGAAGGGCACCGGGAGCAAGGTGGACCTGTGAGTGCAAACCACTGCTCTCACACGGAAGGATGGCAGTGACGCTCTGCCAGTCACACAATTTATAATCAACCCAATATTTATTAAGAGCCTAATAGACGGCAAACACCCTCACATGCTCACCACAGTTAATCCTCACCATCACCTTCGGACCGAGGTATCATCAGTGTCATTTGAAAATTGAAGATAAAAAAAAAGCTTAATGAGATTAAGTGGCTTATCCAAGGCTCCTCAAAGGATACTGCAGAAGCAGGGATAATGAATTCAGGCCTGTTTGATTCGAAGTCTGGAACTTAACCACACCGTCTCTCAGCCAGCATGAAGGAAATCTGCTACTACACAAAGCGCCAGCTCCTGGGCTCCGGCCAGGCCACAGCCAACAGGCAAAGTCAATCACAGAGGAGGGGAATTGAGCAGAATTCCCCCGAGGGGACCCTGTCTGGCCCCTTCCACAAGCGCGATGCTGCAGCTCTCCTCCTATGTTGGAGAGAAGTGTGGCGGGCAGAGGCTGGAATCTAACACGGGGCCTGTGCCCTGACGCACACACGCTGTCAGCACGCGAGCTGCTATGCTGGGAGCTGAGGCAGACACAGCAACTGCCCCTGCCCCAGAGGGAAGATAGGCGCCCGTGATGAAACGTGGGGAAGGGGCGCGAGTCAAGGGCCTGGGAGAGGAAGGGAAGATGAGCCCATCTTGGAGTACTGTGCTTCAGGGGCTGCAGCAGTGAGTCAGTCATTCTCGGCAGGGCCCTGAACATCCACAAGCCTCTCAGGCTCACCCTTCCTGCCTCGGCTGCAGAGCAAGGCTTCCTACTGAGATGCCCCCTCACTCTGTCTTCTCGGGTTTTTTCCAGTTTTTCCGGGTCTCCAGGAAGATCTTGGCCAAGGAGTGGAGGATGGGCACAGCCATAGGGAGGAAGAGTGGGATGTAGATGGCAAACTTCTGGTCATCGGGGAAATAGAGGAGGTGGAGGAGCGAGGGGTCAAAAAAGGCACGTTCAGAGCACATCACGGCTTCCTGGCTGGCGACGAAGGCAGAGCTCAGGTGCCCGGAGGCCAACTCTTCTGCTGCCTTCTGGACTGCGGCGACAGCCCTGTACACCTAGGGAGGGCAGGGGACAGTGAAGCCGAGACACTGCAGGGGAAGGCTGCTATGCGTGACCAAGCCTGGAGTTCACCCAGCACACACACAGATCAGGCTAACCAGGCGGCGGTTTGTTTCCTGAGGACCAGCATGAAGCCCATGTCTGATTCTGACTCCTGCAGGTGGCCAGGGCACGTAGGGATGACATGCCGGTACATGTACATCCCAGACCTCGGTTGGCCCTCACTGGCCACTCCAGTCCTCGTCCCTCGTCCTGCTTACCTCAGATGCCACGTCGTCCTTGATGACAATGTTGCTGATCTTGCCCAGCAGCTGGGCCAGGGAGGTGAGGGTGGTGGTGGCAGTGGCCACGTTCTCCACTGACCGGGCCCAGAGCAGCCGGTCTAGCTCCCACGTCATTAGCCCCTCACTCTTCGGCCCTGACAGCAGGCATTTTGGAGGCACTTGGGGCTGAGTAATCCCAAACAGCAGCCTGGGGACACAGTGAAGGAGATCAGGGCGGCTGAGGCAGAAGGTGCGATTGGCTAGGATTCCTGCAGTGAGTTTCAATCAATACTCAGAACCACAGGAGCTATGGTAAGGGTCTTAGGGTTCTGAGGAGCAAATAGCAACACCAAGCAATCCAGGGCCCTCCATCCCTGCTGCAACCAGGGTGTTCCATATGTGCTGTTTTAACATTGGATTTCCAAGATCTTGTTTGGTGACAAGGTTCCATGGCACAGGAAGTTAAGCCAGTGTCTGCAATACCAGCATCCCCTGAGTGCCAATTGGAGTCCCAACTGCTCCACTTCTGGGTCCAACTCCCTAATGCTCCTAGCAAGGCAGCAGAAGATAGCCGAAGTACTCCGGCCCTTTCTACCCACGTAGGAGACCTGGATGGAGTTCTGGGTTAATGGCTTCGGCCTGACCTAGCCCCAGCCATTGTGACTATTTGAGAAATGAACTAATGGATAAACAATCTCTCTGTGTGTGTCTCCCTCTCCGTAACTGCTTTTCAAATAAACAAAATAGGGCCCGGTGCGATAGCCTAGTGGCTGAATCCTCGCCTTGCATGTGCCAGGATCCTATGTGGGTGCCGGTTTCTGTCCTGGCTGCTCCACTTCTCATCCAGCTCCCTGATTGTGGCCTGGGAAAGCAGTGGAGAACGACCCAAAGCCTTGGGACCCTGTATCCACATGGGAGACCCAGAAGAAGCTCCTGGATTCACACTGGCTCAGCTCCGGCCATTGCTGGCATTTAGGGAGTGAACCAGTGGTTGGAAGATGTTTCTCTCTGTATTTCCTTTTCTCTGTATTTCTGCCTTTCCAATTTAAAACAAACAATCGATCAAACAAGAAAGCTTATTTTAAAATAACCAAACCAAATAAATCTCTTCCACAAAAAGGTTCACAGCAGAAATATTTTTGAGAATACTAAATCCATTGACTCGCTCTCCAATCTTCAGACAAATGGGGCCAAGGGGCCTTGAACTTAAGTCCATCTTTGCCATGGCACGTGTGCTGTGCTTCTCCAGGCTGTGCCGATCACAAAGGACACTGCTAATTCCTCAGGACCCTCTCTCCTGCTGAGTCCAGATACCACCTTAGGATTCCCAACACAGGACCACTCCCAGTCACTTAGCATTAGAATTGCCAGCTATTTTTTTAATCACACCCCAGGGTTGATTTTTCCTTAAAGCAGGTTTTGATTAAAGCTAATCTTCCTTAAGAGAAGGATACACAGACGCTTGGAAATCTTTTTCTAGAATATAGCCAAGACGGTGAGACTTCTCCACACTGCAGCCCTCTCTGGACAGCCCAGCAGACCATGAGCTAGCTGACTCTCTGGGGCTGGCCGGCAAACATCGGGTCATTGGAGAGACAGAGGAAACCCAGGGTAGATAGTCAGGACCTCACCGTAGCTGTGCCAGGAACACCTCCATCACTCGCACCATGTCCACATCCACTCTCACTGGTAGCCCAGAGCCGTTGTAGGCTTTAGGGTCCACATTGTAGATCTGAAAGCAGCAGAAAAAGGAATGAGGTTGCCACCCACTACACACCAGGCCCCTGCACAGCTCTGCCCGGGGCCATTCAGAGGCCACAAAAGGAAAGACACATGCTCTGCTCATCAGAACAATTCACCCAATGGAACAGCTGACATGTTTTTGGAATACTGTGACATAAGAAAAAATAAATTATCCCAACTATCCCAGGAAAGTCCTATGAAATGAAAGTTTAAATCCCATTTTAGAGTTCTCAGCCATAAGGAACTAGAAGAGGAGAAGAGATTTCTAATCATGCAGGACCTCCACTGGTCCCAGAACAGCCCTAAGCTACACAGGCTGCTAAGCGCACAAGCAGCAGTGGGGCTGGCAGAGGAGGGGCACAGTATGAGCACAGTACCCTCGCTTCCCTTGCGCCACCGACAAGCTGGGCCATGAGGAGGACCCCAGGAGCAAAACACCAGACACAGTTTCAAGCAATGTCTGTCCCTGCAGCCTGGGCTCTGGCGTCTGCAGTGTGACTGTTACCATGATGCCACCCCAGCGGGGACTGTGGAAGGCATTGGTGGCCACTGGAGCCCCATCCTTGTCTTGAATGTACAGGGGAGAGTGGGCAAGCTCAGGTACGTAGAGGAGAAAGTTGAGCACGGGGTACAGGGTGGCAGTACCAGAGCCTGTGGAGTAGAGAGAAGGAGAGTTATAATAACCAGACCATAGCCCTAGGACAGTCTCGGACTGCACTTCCCCAACAGATAACCACTGGGATACTCTCCAGCCTGGGGCTTCCATGGCCACAGCCCTTGGAATGTTCTGACACATACCACACAGATGGAGCCTAATCTTTAGCTCCAAAATGACCCGTGGAATCTCCCTCCATCTAGGAGGATCTCCTTGACTGCCTTAAGACAGCTCTCTTAGCCACTGTCATATTGCACCCATACAGCTATAGCCAGTTTTATGCACTAGGATCTGTCTGACCTTATGTTGGTTCCCTGCTCAATACTCTCTGGGGCTGAGCCTTTCATATCAGGTTAAAGCTCAGATTCCTTAGCCTGGTCCTTATAGGATCTGGTGCCTTCCTGCCCTGCCAGCTGCACTCACTCATATCTCTGTCAGGTTCAACTGTGCTGGACTTCCTGAATACTTCCCTTCTCCTCTCTCCTAGCCCTAAGCTCACAGGTTCCTTTGCCTAACTGCTCGTTTGCCTCTGTACGGTCGGTGTTTGCTGAAGAAACGGATCAAAAGAGAAGCCATTTGCTAAGGCCTCATATGCCATTCCTCTGGAGCTTGTCTCTGCCCTGGTCTGCCACTGGGGCCTGCAGGTAGTGCTATGCTCCCTCCAACTGGCCTGCATTTACAGTTCTTGGTCACACCTATTCTCCCTAAGTTCCACCCCACAAATGAAAACCATTATTGCAGCTTCAAGGTTCCTCATCCTCCCTCAGGAAAACTGAAAGGTCACATTCTGCCTTCCGTGCTTGCACTCCCTCTCCTAGATATGTCACTGCATTGTTCCCCAGTTTCTCCGGGTAGGGAGATCCAACCTGGCAGCTCACGTGTACAATACCCTGGCAATCATGCCTAATAAAGGCCTTTGGATTACGATCAAGGTGGAGACATTAGAGCACCATGAGGAAGAAGCCTGAGGCAGGCATCTGATGCAACAGTTAAGATGCTGCTGTGGGGCCAGTGGGTTGGTTCAGCTGCCACTTGCAATGCCAGCACCCCATATGAGTGGCAGTTCATATCCTGGCTGCTCTACTTCCGACCCTAGCTCCATGCTAATGCACCTAGAAGGCAAAAGAAGATGTCCGCAAGAGTTTGGGCCCCTGAGCACATGAAGGAGACCCGGAATAAGCTCCACCCTCCTGGCTTCAGCTTAGCCCAGGCCTGTATTTGCAGCAATGAAGGGTATTGGGCGGGGAGGGGGAAGGGTGACTCAGTGAATGGGGATCCCTATTTCTCCCCCTCTCTATTACTGTGCCTTTCAAATAAATAAATCTGAGTGAAAAAAAAAAAAAAAGATGCAGCTCAAGGAACCTGTATCCTATATCAGAATGCATGTGTTCAAGTCCCAGCCTCATTTTCTTTCTTTTTTTTTAAAGGTTGATTTATTTTTGTTGCAAAGTCCTATTTACAGGGAGGAGGAATGAGAGAGAGGAAGATCTTCCATCTGATGATTCACTCCCCAAGTGACCACAACAGCCGATGCTGTGCCAATCTGAAGCCAGGAGCCAGGAACTTCTTCCAGGTATCCCACACGGGTGCAGGAACCCAAGGCTTTGGGCCACACTCCACTGCTTTCCCAGGCCAGAAGCAGGGAGCTGGATGGGAAGCGAAGCTGCTGGGATTAGAACCAGTGCCTATATGGAATCCCAGTGCGTTCAAGGCAAGGACTTTAGCCGCTAGGCCACCGCAACGTGCCCCCAGCCTCATTTTCTATTTTAGCTTTCTGCTGGTATGCACCCTGGGAGGCAGAAGGTAATGGTTCAAGTAGTTGACTCCTTAAACCCCAAATGGTAGATCAGGCTGGAGTTCCTGGCTTTGGCCTGGCCCAGCCCTGGCTTTTACTAGCATTTGGGAAGTGAACCAGTGGTTGGAAGCTGTCACTGCCATTTTTAAAAATATTTATTTTGTTTTTATTGGAAAGTCAGATATACAGAAAGGAGGAGAGACAGAGAGAAAGATCTTCTGCCCAATGATTCACTCTCTAAGCAGCCGCAATGGCCAGAACTGTGCCAATCCAAAGCCAGGAGCCTCTTCCGGGTCTCCCACACGGGTGTAGGGTACCAAGGCTTTGGGCCGTCCTCAACTGCTTTCCCAGACCACAATCAAGGAGCTGGATGGAAAGTGGGGCCACCAGGACATGAACATATGGGATCCCAGCACATGAAAGGTGAGGACTTTAACCGCCAGGCTACTGCGCCGGGTCCTGTCACTAACATTTGATTACATTTTTAGAACTTTTGTTTACTTAAAAAAAAAGATTATCTATTTTTATTGGAAAGGCAAATTTACAGAGAGAAGGAGAGATACACAGAGAGAAATATTCCATCACTTTGGGCTCACTTCCCAAAAGGCTACAATGGCCAGGGCTGAACTGATCCAAAGCCAGGAGCCAGGATCCTCTTCCAGATTTTCCATGTGGATACAGGGGCCCAAGGACCTGGGCCATCCTCTCCTGCTATCCCAGACCATTAGCAGAGAGCGGAAGCAGAAGAATAGCTAGGACAACAATCAGTCCCATATGGGATGCCAATGCCACATGGCAAAGGACTAGCCTTTTGAGCCACAATGCTGACCCCACATTTTTAAAACTTTTAAATGAAGAAAAGGAAGCTTACATCTGCCCAGGCCTCTCAGACCAACCCAACCTGAGACCATCAGTGTACCCTACGCCAGGGCTGAGACTTCAGGATACCTCCCTGGCCTGGCTGAAAGACCCCATCCTTAGAAGCTCACCTAGGCGGGATTCCACAGGGTTGATAACATGGGGAAGGCTGTGCATGGCCAAGTAGTAGCTGGAGGAAGCCGGGTCAAACCGCGGGTTGACCCCCAACATCGCATAGTAAAGGATCTGTGGAACACAGAGGGAGGAGGGCTCACTCAGACTCTTCCTCCAGAAACACGTCAAAGATACAACCAAGACAAAGCCCAGCACGAGGAGAGGAGAGATAAAGGAATAGTGTCCACAGCCAAGTTAATCCACTCACTGCCGGCTTTGCAAACCTCGAGCTCTCCCAGGCTGAGACAAACAACGGCAGGATTCAGTGTGTACCAGATCAAGTCAAGCCAGTGATTCAGAAGCAATTACTCCCACCACCAAGATCTGATAAAAATGTCACCCCCACGTTTTCCTGACAAGGACATAGTACGATACAGAAAGCCACATTTTTCCTGCCTTTATTGTTACTACATTAACATATTTCAGGGAGCTTTTCTCCACCCCCCCACCACGTGCCTCAAGCAGCTCCTTCAGGGGGTGCCGAGGGTAGCACTGTTGAAGCACAGCTGCTGAGTGGGGCTCCAGGGGAAGCCACAGGGAGTGGGACAGACAGACACGCATTCCTCAGTCCCATGCCTGCGCTTAGGACACCCCCGCACACCCACACAGGCAGGAAACCCCCAGCAAACTCACTGGTTCTCAGAGGTGGAGGACCATGCTGCACCTGCCAGCACTAGATACCTATGTACCCTGCCAAGGGCACCTCGGCTCACTCCTGGCCTCACCTGAGAGTCCACAGAGAAGTTGCCAGTGATGCTTAGAACGTCCAGGAAGGGCTGCACGTAGCGCCGGACGGCGCCCTCGATGTCCCAGTGGACGTCATGGGACTTGGGGTCGGGGTTGAGTAGACTGAAAGTGATCTGATAGCCTATGGAGGCAACAAGCCAGGGAAGTCAGAGGCTCCTTTGGAGCAGGGAAGAGGGGCAGCCTCGGCCCTACTTCAGACAAACTTTTTCTCCTAAGGTGAACTTGACTGGCTGCCACCCTGGAACCAAAGGGAGGGCCAAACTGGGGAGAAGTGCTTTAAACAAAAAGTCGAGACTTGGAAAAAAAGGATTCTGCATGCAGATTCTCCTCCTGCTCCCACAGAGTCCATCTTCCTCTCCCTCCTTCAGCAAAGCCCTGTCCCCTACCTAAGCTGGACTTGAGGGGCCGCCTCTTATCGGAGCTCCACTTTTCCTCTGGAAGGTGGTCAGCCAGGGCGGCAGCAAGCACATCCTCTGTCAAAGACATGGCCTGGGCCACCTGGATCACGCGATGGCCGATGATGGTGAGGGCCTCCCGGTGCATGAGCCCCCGCACAACTGCTGTCCTCCCAGGCCCAATGTAGCTCATCTTGTCCTGTGAGGGGTGGGCAGGGGACCGAATGGCAATGACTCAGAGAGGAAAAGAAAAGAACACTCAGGTCCCTTGTCTTTGAGACTCTGGTCTTTTGCTCCTAACCAACAGGCTCGCACCTCTCTCTAGGTCATGCTGAACTGCCAACTCAGTATTTCTGAGCTATGAGCACAGACAAGGGTTTCCATTCAACTCCCTTCCCTGCTCCATCCGACCAGACATCAGTAAAAGTGGCGTCTCAATTGCTGGCAGCTGCCAAAACGGTCAACTGGGAACTGAGATGCTGTACGTGAGCATCCTGAGCCTGACTCCACCACCTGGCTAAACAGTGGTTATTGCCATTTGAATTGTCTGCAGGTCTTAAAAAGACTCCAAGTCAATGAACAAATCTCCCTCAGGCATTCTCTAAAGACAAGAGGTGGACTTTTCTGTGCAAAAGGAAGAAATGGGAAATGATGCTGCAAGAAGGAGGGCACCGAGGAGGAGCTGGGAGGACACGGCCAAGTCACAGGCTCTGCTTACTCACCTGGGGAAGAAGTGAGGATTGCTCAGAGATCACGTACACAGTCAGGGAGCCCTCCAGCTGCTCCTGGGACTCAGCCAACACGGCTTCTGCCTCTGGGGACAAAAACAGGTGGTATGATCAGAGCAAAAACACTGTCCCATCTCTATCTCCGAATCCTGCAGGGCCCCAGTGTCCACCCCTCCATTGACCCTCAGCTGACGCTGTGGCAAACCAGTCAATCCCACTGACCCTTAGGGGCCCAGAATCCCAGCTCTCCCAGAGCAGTCTAGAAGTTAAGACAAGCCACAGGAACTATGCACGAAGACATCAGAAGGCAATAGACAACTTCCAATTGAAATTAAGTCTTCACCCTCTCCCATACCTTGCACATTGTCAAGTGACAGGGCTTCCTCCTCTTCCTCCAAAGCCCACCGATAGGCCTTCTGGAAACGGCATTTGATTTTCATTTTGTCTGGGAGGGGAAGGAAGAAAGCAGCCTGACGAGAAGAGCATGCATCTACCACCGCCCAGGAACCGAAGATGCTGGAAAGTTATGTGCAGGGAAAGACCACGCAGCCACAACCATGCCACCCTTTCTGCATCGAGGATGGCAAACTCATGACACCTGCTTTCCTTTGCTCTCGAGCTCTTGTCTGTGCCAGGGCCCACATGGGTCCTTCAGCCCTGAGGTGTTCTACTGAGAAATCTATTTCAATATTCACTATAAGAATAGGTGAAGGAGAAAAACCATCTAGTTGTTCCAATTATGTCCATTCCTGACTATTCAGTGAGGTTCTTTCAAAGGGAAATAAAACCTAGAAACATTTAAAGAAACAGAGGAGACCTGGCGCAGTAGCCTAGTGGCTAAAGTCCTTGCCTTGCATGCGTCTGGATCCCATATGGGTGCTGGTTCATATCCCATCTGCTTCACTTCCCATCCAGCTCCCTGCTTGTGGCCTGGGAAAGCAGTCGAGGACTGCCCAAAGTCTTGGGACTCTACAACCACATGGGAGACCCAGAAGAAACTTCTGGCTTCTGATCAGCCTGGCTCCAGCCAGTGTGGCTGTAAACCAGCAAATAGAAGATATTTCTGTCTACCTCTCTTCCCTGTAAATCTGACTTTCCAATAAAAATAAATAAATTTTTTTAAAAACTAAACAAAATAAATCTAGTTTAAAAAAAAAAGAAATAGACAACCAGCCACTTTGGAAATTGTAGGAAAATCAAAAAATCAGCTAAAAAACATTTTAACAGTTCAATATGATGCCTGGACACAAGAAAATGTAAAAATGATAGCAATGGGCCCAGTGTGGTTGCCTAGCAGCTGAAGTCCTCACCTTGCATGCACCGGGATCCCAGGATGGGATGGGATAGGTTCTAATCCCGACAGCCCACTTCCCATCCAGCTCCCGGCTTGTGGCCTGGGAAAGCAGTTGAGGACAGCCCAAAGCCTTGGGACCCTGCATCTGTGTAGAAGCAGAACAAGCTTCTGACTCCTGGCTCTGATTGGCACAGTACCGCCATGGTGGCCACTTAGGGAGTGAATCAACAGACAGAAATCTTCCTTTCTCTCTCTCCTCTTCTCTGCATATCTGACTTTCCAATAAAAATAAATGTTAAAAAAAAAAAAAAAGTGAACAGCCACAGAAATACCAGTAATATCCAACTAGAAAATCAATCATTTTTTTAAATCTCCAGGGGTCAGTGTCATGGCACACCAGGTTAAGTTGCTCCCTGTGATGCTGGCATCCCATATGAGTGCCAGTTAAAGTCCTAGGTTGCTCCACTTCAATCCAACTCTTTGTTAATGTGCCTGGAAAAATGGCAGAAAATGGGCCAAGTGCTTATGCCCTGCCACCCACATGGGAGAACCAGATGGAGGTCGAGGCTCCTGGCTTTGGCCTAAACCAGCCCTGGCTGTTGTAGGCATGTAGGGAGTGAACCAGTAGACAAAGAACTCTCTCTGCAACTCTGCCATCCAAATAAATAAATAAATAAGACTTTTAATTTTTTTTAATCTGAAAAAAAAATGGAAAAAAGTATACAAGGGCCCTGGAAGAAGAGACTAAACACTGTAAGAATATCAACTCTGCCTGTTAATGTACACATGTGAGGCAATTACAAGGGGAAATTTCACTCCTTGAAATTTCTTTCTTTTTTAAAGATTCATTTTTTTAAAAATAACACATTCATTTTTTTTTCTTTTTAAGGTTTATGTACTTTTATTGGAAAGACAGATACACAGAAAGGAGGAGAGACAAAGAGGAAGATCTTCCGTCTGATGGTTCATTCCCCAAGCAGCCACAAGGGCTGGAGCTGAGCCAATCCAAAGCCAGCAGCCTCTTCCAGATCTCCACATGTGTGCAGGGTCCCAAGGCTTTGGGCCATCTTCTACTGCTTTCCTGGCCACAGGCAGGGACGCAGACGGAATGCGGAGCAGCTGGCACATAACTGTGGCCCATATGGAATCCTGGCACATGCAGGGGAGGATTTAACCACTGAGCCATCTTGCCAGGCCCTAAAGTCTGAGTTTCAATCCCTGCTCTACGTTGGAAGAGCTGGAAGGTTACGCTAAGTCTCAGCTTCAGTTATCAACTGGGAATCATAATGATAGACAAGATTAAATGAGGTAACACACATCTACCTAGTTTCTAGCACACGGTGGGCAACAACTAATATTAGCCCTAATTACTAGCTCACACTGTTCTCCTTCCCCTCTCCATTTAACCTGAATTCCTACATATCCTTTAAAAATCCCAATTAAAAGATGCATCCCTCCGGGCAGACTCTGACACAGCCATTAAGAGATTAGTTAGGACATCTGTGTCCCATTTCAGGATACCTGGTTCAACCCCAGCTCCTGGTCCTGATTCCACTTCCTGCTTATCACATTCCGGCAGGCAGCAGGGGTGGCCCAAGTGCTTGGGTTCCTGCTGCCCATGTGGGAGGCCTGGATCAAGTTCCTGGCTGTCTTTGCTATCTCCTCACCTCTTGTGAGCCCCCAGATAAGAGCTCCTTCCCTGTCTCTGTCTCTCTCCCTCTCTATTTTTCAAATATACATATATTTTAAAGATTTATTTTTATTTATTTCAAAGAGTTAGCCGACACAGTGGCTGCACAGGCTAATCTTCCTCCTACAAGCATCAGCATCCCATAAGAGTGCCAGTTTGTGTCACAGCTGCTTCACTTCCCATCCAGCTCTCTGCTTATGATCTGGGAGAGCAGTGGAGGATGGTTTACGCCCTTGGGATCCTGCACGTGCTTGAGAGATCCACAGAAAGCTCCTGGCTGCCGGCTTCAGATCAGCTCAGTTCCAGCCACTATGAACACCTGAGGAGGGCACCAACAGATTAAGATCTTTCTCTGTGTCTCCTGCCTTTCCAATAAATCTTTAATTGGAAAAAAAAAAAAAGAAAAAGGAAGGAAGGAAGGGAGGGAAGGAAGAAGAAAGGAAGGAAGGACAGACGGACGGAAGGAAGGAAGGAAGGAAGGAAAGAAGGTAGGTAGGTAGGTAGGTTGGTTACAGAGGTAAGTTTTTTTAATCAAACGGCTCAGCAAGGTCAAAATCCAGGAGGCAGAGGCCTCATCCATGTCTCCCCCAGGGATGTGGTGGGGGCCCAAACACTTGGACATTCTCTGTTGTTCTCCTAGGTACCTTTAGCAGAGAGCTGGATCAGAAGAGGGGCAGTGCAACTCCTTCCCGCATTCTACACCATTGCTTCACCCACTGTGCCACAATACCAGCTCCAAATACATACATTTTTAAACTCCTGCCTCACTGACTCTCAAGCCCAACCACACACACTGCCCAGAGACCTTTGCATTCTAACTGCCTAGCTGCCTCTGTGGGACAGCCACGCTCCTCCCTTAACCCAATGCTGGGCTGACCTCAGCCCCCACGGGGTGCTCTGCCCCTGCAGGTACTCACATTTCAGAGGAATCTCTCTTTCGTGCACAATGGTGAAGGGCAGCTTCTCCTGATCGTCCAGCGGCACCGAATCCCGGGTGAACACCACGGTGACGGGCACCATGAGCCTGAGCTGGGACAAGGAACATCGGGCCCTCAGCGGAGCCCCCCACATGTCGGGTGAGCGGGCCCGGGTCCCCCCGCCCCCACCAGCACACATACCGAGGTCTCACCTGCAGGGCATCCAGCCCACTGATCTGGGAGTAAGGCAGCGGGGCCCGGTAGGTCTCCGTGGTCTTCCACCAGAGCGGCAGCCCCAGCACGATGGCCACTGCGGCGCAGAAGAGGGCGGCGCGCCTGCCCCGGACCACCTCTAAGGACATGGAGGGGAGACCGACTGAGGCGCCGGGGACTGGCTCGGGGTCAGGGGGGACGGCTCCACAGCCGAGGCGAAGGGAACTGGGGCAGCGAGGACTCCGACGGCCTCGGCGCAAACCTGCAGGGATCCCGGCTCAAGCGACCCCCGACCCCGCGTCCGCAGCCCCTCTGGCACGCCTCACTCTCCATCTCCCACACTCCGCCCTCGAAGTGCAGGAGCCGCAAGCCCCGACCCCCCAGGCCCACCGAACCTAGATCCGTGGCCGCTGCCCCTGCGGCCGCCATCCTGGCTTCCGGCTGCTCAGGCCCGCCAAGGGGCGGGGTTGCGTAAGCCTTCACCAATCAGAAACCTCCTAGAGAAGGGACGGGCACACGGCAGCAGTTGCAGCCAATCGCAGACGGCGCTCCAGGCCGGCAGGCGGGGGTGGGCGGGGCCCACGTGGAGCTGTGCTATGAGTTTGAGAAGAGGTTAGGCGGACTTGGAAAGGGCTGACGCGGGACTGGGTCGCTGTGGCCCGAGACACTTGTTGCCCTTGGGAATACTACACTCCTTGCCCCGGGGATTACGTTGGGGCAGTTCTGACGCTTTCAGGCGGCTGAAAACTGGAGATACTTCGATAAGATTCGTGTTAAGCACCTGACACACAGACCTCTTGTATCAACTCTTCCGGTTGCCTAGGTTCGTCTTCTGGAGCTTCGGACACGGAAGGGTAAGCTAGTATCTTTTAGCATAACCGGCTCTCCTGGGTTTTTTATGTTTATTTGAATTCATTTCCATTGGAAAAGTCATAATACTTCCCTAATAAAAATATTGAGACTTCATGAGCACAGATTTTGAATCTTGGTTACTTTCTGATCCTGGCTTCACTGCTTATCATCTGTGTAATTCTTAAGGTCTCTCTAAGGCTGTTTCTGGTTTAATAACAGTAGCTTCTAGTTGTCCTAAATGAGTTAACCCACGTGAAATGATCAGATCAAAGGTTGGCAGGAGCCTGTAGCAAGAACCATGGGATGGTTGTCTGTTTTGAGTATAGGGCCAAGCCACACCAGGAGGAGAATGGGTGGCCTCCTCAGTTCACACAAAACACAATATGCTTGTTCTCCTATCCTTCAGCTGCTCAGGTAAACCCAGATTCTCAACCTGCTTCACACTCCAGCCTACTGGTCAAGCCCAGATGGAGGCTCACCAAGTCCTCTTGACCCATAGATTGGCCCCCCCTCGGTACTCACTCTGACCCCAGTTGGGAGAGGGGCATAGTCTTCTGCAACCTGATAAATGCCTGGCTCAGCCCCCAAGCCTTGAGATTATTCCTATGATTCCTCCTAGTAGAATGTGTAAGGCCCCAGCAGGGCTCAACCAAGAAGTGAAAGACTCCCACCTCCTCTTATTGGCTTGTCAAACTTCCTGCTTTGGGCCTTGTAAAAACTGGCCTTCGAGAAGTGCTGAAATCTTTTCTCATGCCAACCCTTGAAGGAGCAGCAGCCTGGGCCTCTGAAGTGGCAGTCCCTGGAAAACTTATAACCCACCTCCCTGCCCTCACTCCAGCCTTGGACACCAACAGGCAAAAGAGCCTACTGGCAATGGTAATTGGGTGCGGCCTTCCTCCATAAACTTGAAGCCTAGGAAAAACACAAATCTCACCCTCTCTACCAACAGAGATCAGAAACTGGGAGGTGGGAATCTGGTGAGAAAAACAGACAGACCAAGTAGCACATTTTGCTACCATTTATTTGCTATGTGGTATGTATTCAAGGCATGAGTCAGGGCTGACGTCCTACCCTCGGATCCCAGGAGAGAGGGCAGGCAAGAAGGAGAGCCCAAGGAGGAGCTACTCTGTCGTAGGCAAAATGTGGAGGCTTGCAGAGGTAGGGGGGACACCCAGGCATCCTGCTCTGACTTTATCAAGTTATCCTGCCTCGGTCCTGAGGGATTCCCCCTTCCCATCCTGTGGTCCTAGGTCAGCAATGGGGAATGGAAGGTGGGGGAAAGAAAAGGAAGATGACTTGATACTGCAACAAAGGCATTTCTGCCTTGCATGGCTATTTGACCCCAGCTGTGACTACAAGCAACAATGGGTGCAGGTGGCTGGGCCAAGGGCTGTGCTGTGGAAGCGCGTACTCAGTAGGCATGGTTGGCAATGTAGAGGGACTGTGCGGCCGCTCCACCTTCTTCTCCACTGCCTTCATACTTGCCCTGGGCTGCAAGGCCATTCACCTGCAAAAGGCAAAGGGGGAGGGGAAGGTAAGCAAGTGGAGGGAGGAGCTAGCTCACATGTGCCAAACCTTGCCCAGGCTACAGCCTGTGGGTGTTCCCTGGTCACCACCTCTATCCTAGTTGATCCCAGTTACACACACCCCACCACACCACCTCCAGCTCCCAACCTCGGCCCGCTTGATGAACTCCTCAGTGGCAGCCCCAGCGTTGTCCTGTTGCCCTCGCCAGGCATTGAGTGCAGAAGCCTGCAAGGCACGTCCATAGGAGAAGGTGAGGGCCCAGGGCCGGGGGAGGGGGCAGCGGTTGATGGCATTGAGGTTGAGTGAGGCCTCCTCTTCACTCTGACCCCCAGACAGGAAGGTTACACCTAGGACAGAGGACAGAAGAGAGACTGGTTGGTTATTTCCTGTTGTTCCACGGTAAGGTCTCCCTGAAGGCCACACAATGAATGATGGGCTTTGGGTGGCCCTAAGGGTAGGGAGTAAAGTAGTACCTGGCACAGCTGGGGGCACAGTACGACGCAAGGCAGTGACAGTGGCCATGGCTATCTCCTCTGGGGTATATTTGATGGGACAGGCATGGCCAGGAGTCACCATGTTGGGCTTCAGCAGCGTCCCCTCCAGGTACACATGATGGTCACTCAGGGCCTTGTACACAGCAGCCAGGACCTGGGGAGCAGAGGATGTTTACAAAGAGTCTGGGCCCCACTCTTCACTGCATGGAGTGGGGAGCGGGTGCAAGATGAGGGCTCAGGACCAGCTCAGGCTTGTGCTCAGTGAAGCAGCATAGAGGACCATAAGTCAGGGCCCTGGGAAACAGCACACCTGCCAGGCTCTCTCTGCTGCCTGTGTCTGTGCCCAGGTACGGACTCACCTTCTCTGTAACATACTGGCAGCGTTTAAGGTCATGGTCCCCATCAGGTAGGATCTCAGGTTCCACAATAGGCACGATGCCATTCTGTGGGCAAAGCAGAGTAGCTTGGGAAGGGCAGACAGTGGGATAGAAGTCCCGTCACCCTCTCCCACCAGGCACAGGGAACCCATCTGAAACCCCAACCCACACACCTGCTGGCAGATGCTGGCATAGCGGGCCAGTACATTGGCATTCTCCAGAATGGCAAGTGCTGAGGGTGTACGTTCGCTGATCTTCAGCACACAGCGCCACTTGGCAAAGTCGGCGCCATCCTTCTTGTACTGGGCACAGCGTTCCGAGAGCCCATCCAGTCCTGCAAGCATAATGCCAGCTTCTTCATCCTGCCCCTCTCCTGCTGCCAACAGCCACCTGACGCCCCCATGGTCTTGACGCCTACCCAGTCTGTACCTTGAGTGGTGGTTTCTCCATCAGTCCCAGCCAGAGGCACCACACCCTTGTCTACCTGCAGGGGAAGAACAGGCTGAGAGCTGACTCTGGCCAAGACTCTCCTTGCCACCCATCCTGTGTACCTCTATTTCTACTGCCTGTTCAGGACCAGGGTCCGCACCTTTATACCCACAACGATGCCCTTATCCTGGATAGTACGGACGAAGGGAACACCATGGTCATCTTTCTGGTAGAGGGTCTCGTGGAAGAAAATGACCCCTCCAATGCACTTCTTCACGCGGTCGTCAGCACTGAACAGGACCTGGCGGTATAGCCGGCGGTTCTCCTCTGTGTTCTCCACGCCGATTTGGCTCAGCCGCTTGGCCATGCTGCCTGGAGGCAAACAGAGTGGGGCAGCAAGGCCACAGCCCACAGGGTTCCCTGGCCATCACCTGTACCCTACCTGGTCCCAGGCCCCCACCTACCTACAGATTCATCTGCAGCCAGAATGCCTTTGCCTGGGGCCACAATCCGGAGAGCGATGTCATTCAGTTCCTTCTTCTGCTCAGCAGAAAGGGCTGGGTATGAGTGAGGCATGGCTGGCGTTGGCTCTCTGGAGTAGAAAAAATAGAAAAGTTGGACCCCATCCTTTACCTTCTCAACTTCTGGTCCTGCTTAAATGGGTCACACAGCCTCTCTACCACAAACACGGGGCTGGGGACACATCAGCGGTTCTTGGCTTGGGTCCTGGGCATCCAAGTGGCAACAATCCTGTTGGGCCCCAGTTCCCACATCTTCTTTTGTCTCTGGTGGGCATCTTTCCCAGCCCTGAAGAAACATGCAGGGTAGGGGGTGGGGAGGGAGGTCAACCAAAAAGCTACAGGTCTTATGAAACTTCTGCCCTGTTGAAGCTTTAAAAAAAATTTATTTATTTTTATTGGAAAAGTAGATATACAGATACATCTTCTGTCATGGGTTCACTCACAAGTGGCCACAATGGCCAGAGCTAAGCTGATCTGAAGCTAGAACTTCCTGCAGGTCTCCCATGCTGGAGCAGGGTCCCAAGACTTTGGGTCATTCCCACCGTTTCCCCAGGGCACAAGCAGAGAGCTGGTAGGTAGAGCAGCCGAGACTCAAACAGGCGTCCATATGGAATCCCAAGCATACAAGGTGAGGATTTAACCACTAGGCTATTGTGCTGGACCCAAATGCACTAGCTTCTAAGGCTTCCAACTATGGCAAAAGAACCTCCCCACCTTTCCTAACCCCAGCTGCTAGGGAAGGTTGGGAGGAGTGGGGCAGGTAAGGAGTGAAGCAGCTCCAGGAGTAGTCTCAGGGTTCCCTAACCTTTCCTTTTCACAGTGCAAGCTACACCTATTGCCCACTCCCACCCCCAGTGCCACAGGTGGGCCCCCAGTGGGGCTTGCAAATGTTGCAGGAACCAATAAGATCAGGTCAGCTAAGTGAGAATGGTAAGATAGAGGTCATCTCCAATGTGACCAGACTCATCAGCTGTGCTTAGTTCCCCATTACCCAGGCACCCAGGGGGAAAGGAACTGAGAGCCTGCAAAAGGGAGGGCGAGGTGCAGGAGGAGCAGAAGGGAGATCTGGAGGAGATGATGTGACAATATGTCACAGGGAGGGACCTGGGCCAAAGGAGAGAGAGAAGGCAAAAGAACACAGAGGGAAGCTCGTCTAGGTGGAGAGGAAATAGGCTGAGACTAAGATGGACCAGGAACGAGGAAGACACCAGGAGACACTGAGGAGGATTTGGGACTGGGAAAGCTAAAGTGTAAGGGGCAGGGTTAAGAAGAAGGGGCGGTTGGGAGAAGCTGAGCCATAGGGTTTCAGGGGCGCTAATGTTAGCAGACAGCCCAAAAAGTGCCCATCCAGTCCTAGGGAGCAAGGCACTGGGCGCTGGGGTAGAAGCCGAGAGGAAGCTGTGATGGTAAACGGCTGTTGCCTGGCGGGGGCATTACCTGTGCACAGTCAGTCGGCTATCCTCGGCAGCCACAGGAACGGCTCGGGTCCCGTAAGCGACTGCAGCAGCTCCAGCCGGGCTCGAGTAAATGAGGCTGCGGATGCCGCAGAGCTACGTGACTCCCCGGGAGGCGGGGCCGGCACCTCCCGCCCTGACCACGCCCCTCCCAGGATGGCTGGCAGTCCAGAGCCAGGACTGCCATGCACTGTCCCGCTCCTGCTTCTTGGAGCCCGGCCAGCAGGGCCCCAGGGGCAGAAAATTGCTTTTTATTTCTGCCCCAGTAGCCTTTACCATGTATGTACCCAGCACTGTGGGGCATTGAAGCCTAGGCTGGCAAAAACAAATCTGGTAACAACCACCGTAGGTGAGGTTGGTGGGACAGAGGCCTCGAGGAGGTGCCCAAGTTCAGGGTTGAACTGAGCTTCTCTGTCCTCAGCCCCTTAATTACCAAAACCTACCCGCTCTACCCAACCCCCACCCCAGAGAATGAAGCCTGTTCTCTTCCCCCCAGGCCAGGAGCCAGGGAACAGGCAGTCCAGTGCCCAGTCTTCAGGGCAGAAAGAGAAGGAGGAAGGGCAGCCTTGACTGTGGAGGCAGCCTGAGGTGGAGAGGGATGTGTGGAGGGTGACAAACAGGAGGGCCAAGCCGCCTCCTTCCAGACCTCACCAGCCCATCCGCTCCCAATAAATAATTAAAATTCAGTGAACAAAAAAGACACACAGATTCCTTGAGCTTGAAGAGATACATTAAATATACTTTATTTAAATAGTATTACACAAAGCTGGCTCTAGGCCAGTTGGTCTTGCTGGTAGGGTAAGGGGTACTGTAGGCAAAAAGGGGTGCAGCACATTCCAGTTTTCTCAGCTCAGAAATTCCAGCAATCCTTGTAGTTCCTTGCAACCCTTCACTACCTCTGGGATGGATAACAGAGTCTGGAGAAAGAGGCAGAAAAAAGGCAGTTCAGGACCACAGGCCAAAGACCCAAGGCTCCAAGCCCAGAAAGCAGCCATTGAATTAGAGGGGGAAGAAAACGGAAGCAGGCAGCTGGGCCCAGCTCTCAGCACAGGCTGAGGGTGAGTGCTGTGTTCCTCAGTGCTTCCGGGGGCCAGGTCCCGTTCCAGGACTAAGCCCACAACCAAGGTTCTATCAAACTTCCCTTTCCAACCTCCACTTGTACCTCATAAATATGCTGAACAATGTCATCTAATTTCTTCAATTCCTTGTCCGAGCGCCGAAGGTTCTCCTCCAAGATGTTCCTCTGGAAAACAAATAGGTTCACAAGCCCTGTTTCAAAGAACACATGCAGGGCATTTGCTATAGGAAACGGCCTTTAAAAAGCGTCAGGATTCTTACATGGCCCTGGAACTTGACTACGAGTTTTGCCTTCTCATTTTTCATCTCCAGGAACATCATCCTCAGCTTGTCCACCTACAGATGCGTACAGATTAGCAGGGGCTCACTGGTTGCCCCAACTCCTCTGCCTAATGGAGATCCCCATCAGATGCCCAGCTCCTCCAGTACTAGGGAGTTACCTCCTGAGAGAGCCACACTTTCTCTTGGATCCAGTTAGTGTCCGCGGGCTGACAGTTGGGGTCCATCTGGCCCGCCAGGGTCTCCTGGAGCACTTTAGTTTCTGTCTCTGCACGCCGAAGTGAGCGGGTGAGCTGGATCACCTCCTCTCTGAGACTCTGGGAACAAGAAATAAGGAGTTATCCTGCAAAAGGGTCTCTCCCCCTCTCACAGTCAATATGACGCCAAGGCAGATAACGTTATCTGTCATGGTTGGGACAGAGCCAGAGGTCCTGGCATCACGAAGGGACCTACTATGAGCTCGCCGCTCTTGTCTATCTGCTCTAGGATCTTCTCGTTCTGCTTCTGTATCACTTCCTCAAGCTCCTTTTCATTCTGTGAGGGGAAAAGGAGGTGAGAAGGCAGGAAAGGAGAGTTGGCTTCTTGGCAGCCCTTGTCAGGAGACAGGAGAGAATGGCTAGCTCAGGCTCTACCCAACAGGGACCAGATGCTCCCACTCCACTTCCAAGGCCGAAACAGGCCAGGCACATGCCAGTGTCAGGGGAGTTTTTGCTAGGGTTCGTGACTTCTCCTGGGTCTGCCTGGGAAGACAGCTTAGCCCTGTAGCTGATTCCCAAATATGTGAAATATCTCATCCTGGAAGGGCAAAACTAGGGCAGTAGTTGGAAAATCCCCACCACCCAGATTCCTGGATAGACCATGGCTCCCAGTGGGCCATAGAGCTGCCCCAGTTCTTTGTCGCTCCATTTCTAGGCCCCTCCTTCACCTTGTAGCGCAAGCACAAGGCCTGGTTCAGCTTCTCAATGTCTGCTTCCTTGGCTTTCTGGGCCTCCTGATGCTGTTCTTCCTGGGCCTGCAGCCTAGCCTGCAGATCACAGCTAGGGGAGAGAAGAAGTCAGTATCACTCCTATGCTCTGGGACACCAGTGGGACCCTTGGCCAAAGGGGCCGCCTCAGTGTCCTGCTGTCACCAGGACCAGATCCCGCTCACATTTTTTGCTGCAGGGTGCTGATGGCTTCTTCTTTGGACTCCTGCACCTGGGAACACAGGTTCTGAAGTTTGAGAATCATAGTACTCATTTCTGCCAGGCTCGTCTCCATGCTGGGGGTCTCTGAAAGACAAGGTCCTAAATAGAGGTCCTTTGGCCTTGGACAGAAGTGGAGTACACTCATCACCTCCACAACTTTCATCCATGTTTTCTGCCTGCAGGATCTGAGTGTCTGCAACAATACAGGCCCCAAGAGGCAGAAATATAATGAGCCCAGGTAGAATTGAGGTTTTTAGAACAAAGTACTTCTCTCACTGCTTGGTTTTCACTCAACACCACCAGATTTTCTAGAAATGAGGCAGAATCCCTGGAGCCATCCCTAACCTGTAGGCTGAAGGGAAACCAGCGACACTACTCGGGTGAAAGCACTCGTCTCACTTCCAACCAAGGGCACAGGAGCTGACTCTGGGTCTGCAATGAAGAGATTAGTGTCAGGATGGGCTCTTCTGGGATCCCAGTCTGAGATGTCCCATCGTGGAAGCCAGGGAGAAGCAGGCAGGAGCAAGGTCACAACTTTCCCACCCCACCCCATCCCCCAAATCCCAGGGTTTTTAACCTTCATCTGTCGCTGCTGTCAAGATGCTGGCTGACAAGGTACTGTCATCGGGCAGAGCGTGTCCCTGGGTAGGAGTCCATGCTGTGCTCAGCAGAAGGGTCTCTGGTTCAGCCTAAGAGCATATCAGAAAAAAAAAGTATCAATCAATCAATCAAGGGGTGGTGTTGTGCTGCAGTGGGTTGGGCTGCTGCCTGTGATGCTAACATCTTATATGGATGCCACTTGGGAGTCCTGGCTGCTCCACTTCCAATCCGGCTCCCTACTAACACATCCGGAAAGCAGCAAAAGATGGTCCTGCCACCCATGTGGGAGACCATGTGGGAAGTGATACAGAGGAAGCTTCTGGCTTCAGCCTGGCCCAACCCCAGCTGCAGTTGTGGCCTTTTTGAGGAGTGTACCAATGGATGGAAGATCACTCTTTCTGTTTATAACTCTGCTTTTCAAATAAATAAAATAAATCTTAAAATAGTAGCAAGAAAATAAACAGTCAGCTCTGAGTGATTGATTCCCTGAGTTCCTACAAGCTCTGGTTGTCTCTTCCAGAATGTCATTCTACCCAGTGCTTCAATTCTGTCTTCCACTGTTCCATGAATACCTTTCCCTCAATGTGGTTATATTCTTTAGAAACTTCCCCTAATAAAACAATAATTTTAAAACAAAAACAAAACCAAAATCCTCTTTCTTAGGATTGGTGAAAACCAAGCAGTGAAAAGTACTTTGCTATAAAAAATCTGACTTTAACTATTACATTTTCTCTTTCCTTTTAAAGCCTATACTTCTTGCCTAGCATTATCACCATCTATTGATGCCACAGTTTACTACACTCCAGCATGTGACCTACCAGTCTACCAAAAACTCATCTGGTCACTAGTGATCCTTTAACACACTTTCCATTTCTTGTTGTAAATGGACTTATTTGATATCATGACTATTTTCTTTTAGAAATGTTACTTTTTGGGACCGGGGCAATGGCCTAGTGGCTAAAGTCCTCGCCTTCAACAAGCCGGGATCCCATATGGACACTGATTCTAATCCCAGTGGCCCTGCTTCCCATCCAGCTCCCTGCTTATGGCCTGGGAAGTCAGTCGAGCATGGACCAAAGCTTTGGGACCCTGCACCCGCGTGGGAGACCTGGAGGAAGTTCCTGGCTCCTGGCTTCAGATAGGCATAGCACTGGCCACTTGGGGAATGAATCATCAGATGGAGGATCTTCCTCTCTGTCTCTCCTCTTCTCTGTATATCTGACTTTGCAATAAAAAAAAAAAAAAAAAAAAAAAAAAGAAATGTCACTCTTTCATAGGAGGACCTCACACTTTTTTGCCAATTTTTTCTCTCTACCCAGAGATCATTCATTAACTGCTGGACTTCTGTGGGTTCAGCCCTTGGCCCGCTTTTTAATTTAATCCATTCCCCGGGTGGCCTCGCTTCAGGAGCTCCACAAAAACATCCCCCTCAGACTTCCACTTCCACATGAATGACTCTTCAATCTCTTTTTCTCAATTGGATTTTTTCCCATTCTCCAGACAGAAAGGCTAATGGCCTGTGAAAAATCAACTAGAATGTTCCACAGTCCACTTGCAACTAAGTATGTATAAAGCTGAGTTGGCCATTTTCCCTCTTGTACCCCATCAAAAACCTGTCCTACTCTTGAATTTACTATTCTAGAGTGGGAATAGAGGAATGGGGGAGGATTTGGAAGGCAACAGATTTCAGCTTGTAGGTTGAATGTGTCTTGCCAACTGTTTCAAAAATCAAGTTTTATTGGAATTCACTCATTTAATTGACATATTTGTCTGTAACAATATGTCGCAGAGGATTAACCGATTGAGCCATTGTGCTGGGAATCGTGACTGCTTTTTACAAAGATACAGTTGAGAAAGTGAGACAGGGCCTGGAATATTGGCTCAATTGGCTAATCCTCCCCTTGTAACCACTGGGATCCCATATGGGCACTGGTTCACGTTTCAGCTGCTCCACTTCCCACCCAGCTCCCTGTTTGTGGCCTAGGAAAGCAGTAGAGGATGGCCCAAAGCCTTAGGATCCTGCACCTATGTGGGAGACCTGGACAGAACTCCTAGCTCCTGGCTTCAGATGGGCTTAGCTCCTGCCATTACGCTATTTGTGGAGTGAACCAGCAGATGGAAGATCTTTCTGTCTCTCCTTCTCTCTGTAGATCTGCCTTTCCAGTAAAAACAAATAAATCTTAAAAAAAAAGTACATGTAGTGTACTGTGTACATAGGACTTTGTATATATGATGTCGCCAGGCAGTTACATAGAACTTCTCTATACTATTCCCTCCTTGACTTTCAGGTACTCTCCTCTCTGCCTGGTGGGCCTTCTATATATGGATCTCTTCCCTACAAACTCCTAAACCTCAAGATTCTGCTGTAGGCCACCTGCTTTGAGAAAAATCTTCATTCTCAAAGATAGATCTCAGCCTCCTTTTTTTGTAGTCCCTGCAGACCCCTAATATGATTTTTTAAAAAGATTTTATTTTATTTTTACTGCAAAGTCAGATATACATAGAGGAGGAGAGACAAAGAGGAAGATCTTCCATCTGATGATTCATTCCCCAAGTGACCACAATGGCCAGAGCTGAGCTGATCCGGAGCTAGGAGCCAGGAGCCAGGAGCTTCTTCCAGGTCTCCCACGCGGGTGCAGAGTCCCAAAGCTTTGGGCCATCCTCGGCTGCTTTCCCATAGGCAGGGAGCTGGATGGGAAGCAGGGCATTCAGGATTAGAACCAGCACCCATATAGGATCCCGGCACGATTAGGGCAAGGACTTTAGCCGTAAAGCCACCGAGCTGGGCGGCCTAATATGATCTTAAGTCAAGGTGACAGCTTTACATTCATCTTCCTTACTAGATTGTAGATTCTTTGCCATTTCCTGTGCCTGGGTAACATATCATAAGCATCTCCAGGTTTCAAGATCTTATATGTACGTTAAATGTTGGAAAAGCTAATCATCTCCACATTCTGTAAGATTACAAGCACCTATTTAATGTTTAGCATACACTATGGGGAAGCAAAAAATGGGGCTAAATTTATGTTTTCTTTCTTTTTTCTTTCCTGCTTTCTTTAAATGTGGTCTAATTGAAGAGAAATAGCTAAGGCGAATTAACACAAGTTCAAAAGGATAGCAAATTTGTGAGGAGTATGACAGAAATAATCACTGAATCCTTGTTAATTTGGGAGCATTTCAAAGAAATGAGCTAAGGAAGAAAGATTTTAATAGGAAAGCAAAAAGCATTTCCAGTCTGGGTGTGAGTAGTGACAGGACAAAGTATACAGAGCCAGTCCAGGCAGTCTAGTTGAAGCAAGAGTTCATAATGGGGACCAGGGAGACTGATGACAAAAGGTTGTCAGGTGAACAACCAAAAGTTACTGTAGGTGGCAGAGCAGTGTTTTAGAGGAAGTCCAACTATACTGTACAATACAATTGGTAAAGAAGAGAAAGAACCCTACCTCTTGCTTTAGCTTTGTCTGTAGGAAGAGGGTCAGCTTCTGTAGTTGTTCAGTAATCACCCCTAGCTCTTGAGAATACTGCCGTGTCTTCTCCAGGTCTTGTTCCTGGTTTTCTGCTATAGTGTTGGCCAGGTTAGCCCTGAAATAAAGAACATGGAGGATGGCCAAACACAAACCAGGTTTACTCTCTCTGAACCTGTCTCCTGAACTCTCACAGAGCTGCATTCAAACACACACAGAAACAAGTTGGTCATAATTCTCTTTTGAGACTGGCCTCTAGAAGTGTTCCTGTGAAAAACGAGTACTTGATGGAGAAGCACAAAAATATGCTGAAGTCTTACTTCAGGTTCTCCATGGTGTCCTTGAGGGTCTCGCACTGCAGGCTGCGCTCCCGGAGCACTTCCAGAGTAGCTTTCAGCTGACACTCAACCTGGCCCAGCTCTAAGTGGGCAACCTGATTCTCTTGGTCTGCAAACTGGAAAAACAAGAGAAGGAAAGGAAAGAAGCAACTCCTGCCCCCACTCGTCCTTGTCCATTCCTCACCTCAATACCATCAGGCAATTCATAAGACCAGATCCCTTGTCCCCTTGTCCCAAGCTGTGTTACTTACTTCCAGCGTCTCCTTCAGGTCCTGTACCTCCTTGGCCAGGACAGCCTGCTGTTGCTGCAGTTCTGCCTGTGTGAGTTTTAGTGCCGCCTCCTCCTTTTGCCATCTGACAGAGATCTTATGTTAGATTCTATTTGGCCCATATATGCTGGGTGCCCACTGGCAAAAGAACATGATGAGAACTCACTGAGCAGCTTGCTCCTCCTTGCTCTGGGTAAGATGGCTGAGTAATTCATCCTTCGTAGCCAGGACCTGGGCACAATGGGCATGCTGACTCTGCAGCTCTTTTAGCTGGCTGTCGACACCAGCCAGAATCTGCAGCTGAGCTCGGAGATCTAGAACAAAAGTACCCTAATGACACCAACGCAGTTACCAGGTTGGAAACTACCCACAATTCCCTGCTCTATTGCCACACTCATAGCCTTAGCACATCTCAACTGCTTGCACGCACATTCATGTGTGCACATACACACACACACAGAGGCACCTGTTGCCAGACGACTGTTTTCCAATTCCAGTTGTTCTACTTGGCCTTTACAGTGTTCTAAATGGGCAGAGACTTGTTCCAGCTCCCTGGAAACCTGAGAAGAAAAGAAAGTTTCCTTCCTACAGTTTCCCCGGGGGGGAAAAAAAAATTCCAGGACCTAGTTCAAATTCTCTTTCTGGACAAGGTAGTGAACTACCTTGATCCCAGACAGTAATGCTGCACGAAATAAGGTAGATCCTCAAAAAGAAGGAAAAGGAGAAAAACTGTTAAAGTGAAGAAGGTGCTGAAGAGCAAGGGAAACAACTGGGCTTGAGATCATTTTACAGCTAAGGGACTTGGGTGGTCTCCAAACTCCCAGGATGAAAAAGCAGACAAATCCAATGTAAGAGGCTAATGACAGCACATATTTGAAAGGCCTTTTGCAAAGCAGAAAATCAAGTCTAAGAAGTTTCCACTCCTGGTTTGTACCTGCTGCTTCTTCTCAATGGCGGCATCACGTTCCTGGAGGGCCTGCCGGCTTTTGGCTGCGAGTTTTTCTGTGAGCTGATGACACCGACTCAGCAAAGCTGTCCAGGTTGTATACTACCAGGGGAAGCAGGCAGGTCAGCTGAGCACGCTTGAGGCAAGGCTCCTAACAGGGCCGCCCATAAGTTAGGGAGTGGTTGACAGTCCCAAATACTCACATCCAGTTGCATGGACAGCCAGTCCTGTTGCAAGGTAGACGTCAGGTTCACTGTCTGCTGGACCACTTCTTCCTGCTCGGTTTGAAGTTCTACCTGTAGAGAGGACTGCCTATGAAGGGGGCAGCAACATCCAAGTGTATCAGTGGGAACTCTGGGAAAGAAAATGCCCTTCAATTACCAGCTGGGCCTGGGCCTGCTTCAGCAGTCCTTGGAATTCCTTCATGGATGTCAAGTCATGTTGCAGCTGACTGATGCGCTGGCTCGAGTGTGCACAGAAAGCCTCCAGCACTGCCTCTGCCTGTGTTACCAAAGAGGATGCAAGGACACAGTAGACAGCTGAGGGGAATGGCAGAAAAAGCCACAGCCAGCCAGCAGCCCACTAGTTCAGCCCATTCCCCTTGCTGGGCATTTCTCAGGCCGCTCAGATTCTGTATCTTCAGTGCATTCCTATGAGAATGTGAGGTAGAGTCCTCCCAATCCAGGAACAGGCACCCAGTACCTTACCGCATCCTTGCCTCTGAGGGCCATTTCCTCTCCGTGCCTTGCCTCTTCTTTTTCTGCACTGAGACTCTGGAGCTTTGCCCTCAATTTCTTCAACATATCAGAGCAGCAGGAAACCAGTGTTTCTGCACGCTGAGACTACAAGGTAAGAATCAGGTGCTGTGTCGGTGCCCTTTTCTTGGCTTCAAACCCCCCAACAATGCCTCTGTCTCCACGCTGCTTACCTCCTGGTTCACAGTAATTTTATCTTCCTCTAAGTGCAGCAGGGAGAGGTGAAGCAAGGATGTCAGCTCTTTACAGGCTAGCATCCATGATTGCTGTTGAGAGAAAGATGGTCGTGCAACATCAGATACAAGCATTAAGGAAGAAGCAGGAGCCCTGGGAAGGAAAGGCACTGATCCCACTTCCCAATAAGGAAAGATCATTTACCAAGGTTTGAAAGTGTCTCTTTATCCCCACAGCTGTGTATTGCTAGCTACCAACCATCCAGAATTCTCCATTCTTTTTTCTTTACATTTTATTTATTTGAGAGGCAGACAGACATAAAGAGCTCCAATCTGCTGGTTCATTCTCTCAAATACCCATAAGGCTGAGCCTGGGGCTGGGCCAGGAACCATGAATGCTATCCAGATCTCCTGTTAGTGGCAGGAACCTTATTACTTAGACCGTCACCACTGCTTTCTGGGGTCTACATTAGCAGGAAGCTGGAGCCAGGATCCACAGGCAGATATTTCAATATGGAACATAGATATCTTAACTGCTAGGCCAAATGCCTAGCCCCTATTCTCCATTTTTTTTTCTTAAGTTCTATTTATTTATTTAAAAGGCAAAGTTACAGAGTATGGGCAAAGTGGACAGAGAGACAGAGAGAGAGAGAAAGAGAGAGGGGTGTCTTTCATTCCCGGTTCAGTCCCCAGATGCCTACAACAACCCAGGCAAGGCTAGGCTAGCTTACAACCAAGAACCCAGAACCCAGAATTGCTTCTAGGTCTTTCACATGGGTGGCAGGGACACTAAAGTATTAGTGTCATTGAGCCATTACTTGCTGTCTTGCAGGACCATCTGTGATTAACTGAACGGGAAGTGGAGGCAGGATACAATCCCAGGCGCTCTGACAGAGGACAACAGCATCCAAGCGACAGCTTATCTTGCTGTTCCACAACAGCCACTCCAGATTGGGAGACTCAACAGCGCTGTAAGGTCAGTCGACACTTACCATAACATTCCTGGCTTGCTGCAAGGCCTGTCCAATTTGCTGGTTCTCCTGAAGATGTTGAGGTTTCTCAGTCACCTAGCCAGAGAAAGAATTGTTTCTTTTGAGCAGACAACAGGTACCTCAGTCTCCCCAATATCTGGTGAGTTACAGGAGCCTTTCCTATCAAGAGGAGTGAGTTTTATGACAAGATTAAGCCAAGTCAGAAAGACCAATCAAGACATAGGTAAAAATTCCTTTTTATAATAACTTTGCTAATTATAAAATTAGCACAGGTTTATTACAAAATTTTGGAAAATATAAACATGAATAACAAAGGAAAGGGAAATCATTAATAATTTCAATAGCACAGGATTTCTAACCAATAATACAAAAGCTATTCACAGTGATTACAATGATTTAGAAATAGGGGCTGCCATATAATGCCACCACTTGTGATGCTGGCATCCCATATGGGTGCCAGTTCTGGAATTTTGGTTGCTCCACTTCTGATCCAGCTCCCGGCTCATGGCCTGCGAAAAGCAGTGGAAGATGGCCTAGGTATGGGCCCCTGCCACCCTTGTGGGAGACCCAGATGAAACTCCTGGCTCCTGTTTTCAGCCTGTCAAAGCACTGGCCATTACAGCCATTTGGACAGTGTACTAGCAGATGGAAGATCTCTGATTCTCCCTTTCTCTCTCTGCAATTCTTTAACATATATAGAAAATTGTCAAGTATAATACATCCAAAGATAAATATTTTCCCATATTTTAAGATCTTTAAAATGGAAATGTACATAAGATTTCAGAAAAACCACAAGGACTGACCTTGTGGCACAAATGGTTAAGGCTTAACTTGCAATGTCAGCATTCTATATTAGAGTGCTGGTTTAAAACTCTACTTCCAATTCAGCTCCCTGGTAAGGAAGCATTGAAAGCAGCAGAAGATAGTCCAAATACCTGGGCCCCTGCCACTCAGCTGGAAGACCCTCAATGGAGTTCCTGTCTCTGGCTTTGGCAATCATTTGGAGTGTGAACCAGCAGATGGGAAATCTTTCCCTCTCTCCCTTTCTCTGTCACTTTTTTTTATTTTACTTTATTTCTTTTAAATTTTTTTATTGGAAAGGTGGATATACACAGAGGAGGAGAGACAGAGACAAAGATCTTCCCTCCAATGGTTCACTCCCCAAGTGGCCGCAATGTGGAGCTGAGCCAATCCAAAGCCAGGAGCCAGGAGCTCTTCCGGGTCTCCCACACAGGTGCAGGGTCTTCCAAGGCTTTGGGCCGTCCTCGACTGCTTTCCCAGGCCACAAGCAGGGAGCTGAATGGGAAGCGGGGCTACCGGGATTAGAACTGGCACCCATATGGGATCCTGGAGCGTGCAAGGTGAGGACTTTAGCCACTACACTATCACACTAGGCCCTCTTTGCCTTTCAAATAAATAAAATAAATAAGTACTTTTTTTTTTTCAAAAGGAAGATTCAAAAAAGAAAAACCATAAAAGATTTGGAAATATAGTCATCCTTCAATGTCCATGAAGACTATATCAAAGTGCTTGGTTTAAGTCCTGGCTCTTTCACTTCTGATTTAACTTCCTGCTAATGTGCATCTTGTGAGGCAACAAATGATGGTATAGGTATTTGGGAGCTTTGCCACCCAAATGGAAGACCTGGATCGAGTTGTGGCTTTGTGGCCTGGCCCAGTCCTGGATACTGTTGGCTTTGCAGGAATGAACTAGTAGATGGTAACTCTGTTTCCCATAAAGATAAAACTTACATAAAAATTTGGGCCCAGCAGGATAGCTCAGTGGCTAAATCCTCTTCTTGCCTTGCACAAGGATCCAATAAAGGTACCAGTTCATGTTCCGGCTGTTCTACTTCCTATACAGCTCCCTACTTGTGGCCTGGGAAAGCAGTCGAGGACGGCCCTGGCTTTGGATTGGCTGAAGTCTGGCTATTGAAGCCATTTGGGTAATGAACCAGAGAATAGAAGATCTTTCTATCTCTCCTCTCTGTAAATCTGCTTTCCCAGTAAAAATAACTCTTTTTTTTTTTTTCCAGGAAGCAGAAACTATGCTTTCTTTTTTTTATTTATTTTTTATTTTTTTTTCTTATTGTTAATAACATTGTATTATGTGATATAGTTTTATAGGTGCTTGGATTTCCCCCACTCCTCCCACAACCCTCCCCCCATGGGGCATAACCACAGTTCAAGTTCAGTTGAGATTCCTTCATTGCAAGCACACACCCAGCACCGAGTCCAGCATCTATTTAAAAAAAACTTATAAAAATAAATAGAAGAGTAAAGAAAATGACATTGGACTTGCATATAGCTTACACATCCCTTCGTATTATTTAAATCATCTCTAGATTGTGCATAATTCCTGATATCATGTAAAGCTCTGCAAGTTATTATTATTGTTTAGGGAGCAAAGACAAGAAAAAGAAGTTGTATAAGCTTAATAGATGCATTTTTAGAATATTTTTGATCCATGACTGGTTGAACCCACATACAGGACACAGACACAGACAGCCAGCAGTAAATGTGGGGTCCTGCCTTTATTGTTCAATTTTCCCTCACTGGAAAAGCCCAAGACTCAGATATCTGCTTCTGGGAATCTGCCAAAGCCAAGCACTCCTCATTTTTGTCATCTCAGACCTTCTCCATGCTCATCTGAATTGCGATTTCCTTAAAAAAAAAAAGATTTATTTTATTTTTACTTGAAAGGCAGAGTTAGAGAGAATGAGAGTCAGATCTTCCATCTGCTGGTTCATTCCTTAAATAATTGCAACAGCCAGAGTTGAGAGCTGATCTGAAGCCAGGAGCTTCTTCCAGTTCTCCTGTGGTACAGGGGTCCAAGGACTTGAGCCCCTTCCCTGTTCTCCCAGGTTATTTAGCAGGGAGCTGGAGCCAAAGTGGAACAGCTAGAGACACAAACTGGTGCCCAGATGGGACGCTGGTGCCACAGGATGAGGCTTAGCCTTGTATACCACATTGCTGGCCCTGATTTCCTTTCTGTAAAATTATTTCTTCCATGTTACCAAAAATTCATCGTAAATATTTTTCAATGATTACAAAATAGTCCATTTTATGAAAGAACCATTTATTCCATCTTTTGTACTCTGTTGCTATCTTTATGCAGAATTCTTTGGGATACAGTGGAGTTACTGGGTCAAAAATTTGAACTATTTTTCAAAAAAGGATGATTATATTTATATTCTACTGATGAAAAGACAGCATGTCACTATCTGTTTTATTCTTTGATTTCTGAAAAAACTGACATCTCATTGTTTCAATCTGCACTTCTTTGATTACCAGTAATGCTATTTTCTTTTCCTTAACTGTTTTGGGGCAGATAAAAATCTTAGCAGTAGATAAGTAGAGTAAATAGATAACTCTGATTTCAAAAGCAATAGAGCCCTAGGAAAATTCAAATATTAAAAGAAAGCAGCAGTAGTCTTCATTACTGCCAGGAACAGCCACTGTGTGGGAAACAGGCCCCGGGCAGAGCAGCAGTGCTGAGTCATGATGCTGTACCATCTGGATTGAAGGAAGCAGTCACATCATCCTCAGGTCTCTCGGAGTCCATCACTCCCTTCCCCAGCAAGGCAGGCATCATTAACTGCTGCATCGTGCAGTAAGGCACGGAGTGCCCCTCAAGCCCTGGATAGGACACACATACAGCTCAGAGCTGGGCAGTCAGGCAGGTGATGAGATTAGCATGAAGGAGGCAGCCAAGCGGCAAGGACATGGCCTGGTGATGGGGAAAGGCTGAAGCTGATGTCATTTCCTCTCTGGTTCTGCTTCAGTTGCCTTTAGAGGGACCTGGCACGTGCCAGGGGAACGGGGTGCAAGGCAGATTCCCAGATAGGAAACAAGGTCAAGGACAAAAGGAAAAGGCTGCAAAGAAAACACAGGAGAGAGACTGCGCAGCTAAAGAGAGGAGGCTCTTATGGTTTCCAGGACTTTTGGCACCTCCATGTCATTACTTTGAGGATATTTCAACCCAAAGATGGACTTTGGTCATTTGAGATCATTTTAACTCAGTAGCAACTACTGTTTCCACAGCCACTATTAAGGCCCGCCCGACCCTGACACCGTTCCTTCCTCCCAGGCCTCTTTTGTCACAGACTCAGTCCTTTGGTACAGTGGCCTTTGAACTGCTTTCCTCTCATATCTCCTACAATCATTTTGAAAAGACTATTTTTAAGTTTAAATTGCTGCAAAGGCTATAATTTCCAATATATTATAAATACTGATTATTTGAAACAGAATAGTTAAATCATTCTTAACAAAACGGTTAAATCATTCTTAAGTATATACAACAGCATTATGATATTATAACTATCATAATGATTTTGATGGCTATCTACTTGATAGCTTTTAAAAATATAAGAAAAAGCTCTTAACAGAAAGCGTATCATTCCTTTGTCTCTTTTAACCTATATTTTTATTCCTCATTTCATAATTTCATCCTAATATATTTTTATACTTTAAAGTCTATTATTAACTAGCATATCTATAATAATAATAAAAATTCACTTAAATTTTAAGACAGGCATAGTGGACCAGTAGGTTGTAGTACAGTAGGTTAAGTTGGGAGCCTATATCCGTAGTGGAGTACTTGGTTCAAGACCTGCCTACTCTGCATTTCTGGTCCAGCTTCCTGTTCATACTTCTGGGAGGTAACAGCGAGGCCTAGTTCTTTGGTGCCTGCCTTCATGTGGGAGTCTTAGACGGAGTTTCTAGTTCTGGCTTCAGTGTGCCCTAATCCTGGCCTTTGTGGCCATTTGTAAGTAAAGCCAAGGAAACTAGAAAATGGAAGACCTCTCCCTGTTTCTCTATCCCTCTAACTTTCAAATATGTAAATATTTTTAAAGCTAGCCTACATTTTTTTTTTTTTAAGATTTGTTGTTATTGGAAAGTCAGATATACAGAGAAGAAGAGAAACAGAGAGAAAGATCTTCTATCTACTGATTCACTACCCAAGTAGCCGCAAAGGCCAGAGCAGAGCTGATCTGAAGCCAGGAGCCAGGAGCTTCTTCTGGGATCCCATATGGGCACTGGTTCTAATCCCAGCAGCCCCACTTCCCATCCAACTTCCTGCTTATGGCCTAGGAAAGTCTTGGGACCCTGCACCTGTGTGGGAGACCCAGAAGAGGCTTCAGATCAGCTGAGCTCCAGCTGTTGCGGCCACTCGGGGAGTGAATCAACGGACAGAAGATGTTTCTCTCTGGCTCTCCTCCTCTCTGTATATCTGACTTTCCAATAAAAATAAAATAAATATTAAAAAAAGAAAAGATGAAACTCTAGAAACTCAATTCTGCCTTCTCCACCTCCCAAAAAGCAGAGTGACAGAGGGCAGAGGGGAAAGACAGAAGATAGAGATATCCTCTATCTGCTGGTTCGCTCCCCACATAATCACATCAGCTGCTACTGGACCAGACTGAATCCAGCCATCTGGAGTGCCAACTGAGTCTTCCAAATGGGTGACAGAGGCCCAAGCACCTGGGCCATTGACCACTGCTCTACGATGTGCGCCAGCAGCAGAGCAGCCAGATTCAACTGGTGCTCTGATGGATGCTGGCACTGCAAGCAATAGTCTAACTTGATATACCAAAATAACATCCCCCATATCAATTATTTTAGAAGCTATCCTTGCCTGGGGCTGGTGTTGTGGCAGAGCAGGTAAGGCTTCTGCCTGCATGCCAGCATTCCATAGGGGGTACTGGTTTGTGTCTCAGCTGCTACACTTCATTTCTAAGTCACTATTAATGGCCTTGGGAATGGAGGGCCCAGCCATCCATATGGGAGACCCAGATGAATCTCCTGGCTCTTAGCCTTTGCAGCCTTCTGAGGAGTGAACCAGCCAATGAAAGATCTTTCTCTATCACTGTAACTTTGAATTTCAAATAAATAAATCTTAAAAGTAAATACAATTTCACTTACTTATGTTCCCCTGGAAAGTCTTTGATTTATGTTATTTATTTGAAAGGTAAAGTGAGAAAGGGAAAGACAAAGAGGTATGTTCTACCTGGTGGTTCACTCCCCAGATGGTTGCTCTGGATGAGGCTGGGTTAGGCTGAAGTCAGAGTCTGGAACTCCACCCTGATTTCCAGTATAGATGGCAGGAACCCAGATACTTGGGCCATCTTCCACTGCCTTCCCAGACACATCAGCATGAAACTGGATAGGAAGTGTAGTAGCCTGGATTTGAACCAACCCTCTTATATGTGATGCTGGTGTGGTGGCCTAATCTGCCAAGCCACAATGCCAGTACCTCGTTGCAAAGTTTTCATGTACCCCAGGGGTATAGCTAGTACTTAAAACTTTTAAAAGATCTTCCAGAGTATCAACTTTTTCAAACACCTTAAGGAGCCTGTGATTAAGGTCCTTTTTGTTCTCTGGCAGTTTATCAGACTAAATATTGAAACAGGCCCAGTGGGAACCTCCAAGCTTCAGGAAGAACCTTCTTACCTCACTAGGAACAGTGTCTGTCTGGGTGCTGTTGTCCTGGACCTCAAGGTGGGGGACAGACAGCTGGTTCTTCCAGGCCTGTAGCTGGTGGGAGAGAACCTTCAGAAGGACAAGGGAGCTCAGCAGGTTATCTTCAAGGTCATGTCGAGACAAAGCAGTCAGATCTGGAGGACAACTGCAGCAGGAAGAAAACATAAGGAAGAGAGAGGGGAAGGATGGGAGTAGCAGGTCAGGGTAATGGAGCTTACCAGACTATAGGGCACTTACCTCCATGGGGGATGATGTGTCTCAGAGATGCTGTTCTCGGTACCCACTGGGTCTGCCTGGGGCTTGTTTGTACTCTTTTCCTGTGGTGCTGGGGGAGTAAGCCAAGACCCAACAGAACAGGTGGAGAAAGGAATAGCAATCCCAGCATCCGGAAGCACAGAGGGAAGGGATAAGCTTTGGCGGAGATTCTCTAGCATGACTGAGGTATTTATATCTTTCTCTAGCCAGGCCAGTGGCGACATCCAAGTCTCTGAATCAGAGTTAAGAATCCTACCAGCATCTTCCACTGCTGCACCTGGAACTTCTTGGGATTCCATTTCTACCAGATTTGGAGTCAGACATGTGGACGGTACATTCTCCATGTTTGAGGCAAGCACTTCATCTTCCTGTTTAATCACATTAGGGAGCATGGGAAAACTGCTCTCTTTTTCACCAGGGAAATCAGCTTCTAAGGCAGTTGAAGGGGTAAGGCAGAGCATGGAAGAAGGCAACAAGTCATTAATTTCAGAAGGTGCCAGGTCCTCAGGCACACTCTCAGTCTTCCTGTCCCCCAGGGATTTCCTGGAGCAGTGTAGCTGTTGTTCAGAACAGAGATCTGGTGGCTGCTCCAGACAGAGGGGAGCATCCTGAAATGTAGGTTTCTCAGGTTCAGCAGCAACAACTTCCATAGAGGGTGCCACCTTTTTATTCCCCACATCTTCTGGCCTCATGGGCTCATCTAGAGAGATTCTGCTTGTTTCTGTTCCGACATCTGAATGGGCCTCAGAGGTAATCTCTTGCTGCTGTCCCAGTGGAGGGGATTCAAGGACTAAGGTTTGAACCACATTGTTGTCCACGGATTCTACTGTTTCTTCAGAGGTTTGGGAAATAAAAATGGTTTGCGGCTGCTCATCTGATTCATACTGACAAGTGGCGAACTGCTGCCAAGGATGGCTGAATTGTTCTGAAGGAGAGTCTGTCCTCCTGGCATGGACAAAATCCAGTGGGGTGGAAGTGTTGCTGCTTTCCTGCCAAAGGAAGCAAAAGTATTTGGCTAAGGCAGTTAATACAGCTCCCAAACTCAAAAAAAAGGAAAAAATTCTCATTACCTTTGCTGAATAGAAACTCAGACAATCTTTGCTAGTTGTTACAGAGACTCAATAGTAGTGAAAGAAAAGCAGGTAAGTTATTTTAGGTCCCTCCAAGCGAGCTAAGCTAGAGTGTAAACTGAGAATATCTATCTGCGTCACAAGGAGATAATAGTTTGAATGTGATTCCACTCATCCTTATCCCTAATTCCAACTCAGATCCACGAGAAGCAGGGTGAAAGGTCCATGTGGTGTGAGGGAAGGCCCACGCTCTGTTGTTCTCTAGAGTAGGCACGCAAGATTTTCTTCATTTTGGAGCAGATGAGAATTTAGAAACTGGGGTTAGAAAAGGCAACATCTATCTGTGCCAGTGACCTAGACTTCCTGGCCCCCAAGAGCTGACAGTGATCTGCACGCATGGCTTAAGTCACGTGAGCAGCGTGACGCTGGATAGCTCTACCTTTTGTAGCAGAGAAACAAAACACTGATGGACTTCCTACTTCTGGTTCAAAGGCATAAACACAATGGTGTCTGCTACCTCTTTCAGGGTTACTGGACCTGAGACCCAGTGAATACCAAAAGGAAAGTAGGAATGACATGAAATAGATATAGTAGCCAGAGAAAACACAAACCCTAAAGTAATTAGAAAATAAAGAACCCCAACAAAACAGCACTGCTGGAAGAGACAGACGTGCAAGGGGAGGATTTAGCCAGCTGAGTCATTGTGCCAGAATCTAATCATCAAATTTGATCATAAGCTTTCAAGAATCCAGAGCAAGAGAGAAAAAAACACGGTAAATTCACAGCTCTTATTATGAAAAGGACAGTAATTTCTTCAGGCAGACAATTTTCTAGGTAGTTAAGTTGTAAAGTATATGCTTTAGGAACTTTTGAGACAGGTCATTTGCCTGCCTTGGAAAGTTTCTGCAGCAACTGAAAAGCAGTTTGTGCGTGGCTACCTCTCTTAAGACCATGATTTTTAAAAGAGCATCTCAAAATGAGGGCCATTCTGCAAGGAGTAAACTAAGGTGTCCAACTACCCTGCCTTCCAGCACTGCAACTGGATCCCCAGAGACTTCTGGCCCCTCCTGAAGTGAAAGGAATCAGTTCCCCCAGGCAGCAAACACACTTCTTCATATACAAGTCCACGTTAGAGCAAGAAGTCGAACAGGAAAGAAGGTAAGCTACCAGCTAAATGGAGATTCGGGTTCTCAGTGGATTTCCTTTAACTACCCTTGGGCACCTCTCTGTTGGCCTGAATAGCTGTAAATAGAAGTCACGGAGGTAGAAGACTTCATTATCGTTATTAATTATGTTCCAGTCCCGGTCCTTTGCTCCCCTGAGCTCTTGGTTGGCCAACAGCCAGGTGGAGAAGTTGTCCAGGTGGATCTCACCTGCAGCCCCAGCTTGCACAGTGAGGGGGTCAGCGAGGAACACACAGGGGACGCTTCCCCAGAGTTGTTGAGGGCGCCGGGCTGAAGCATAAGTTCTCGGAGAGGAGTTCTCATAGCTGATTTTCCCTGAGAAGAAAAAGGGAGACGAGGGCGAGTGTGAGGAAGCCTGGCTTCTGTCCCTCCTCCCTCTTGACGTCCGACCCCTTCGAGCCGTTGCCACAGAGTGAACAAAGCCTCCTGAGGCTCCCCCGCCCCGGCTCGACCTAGTCCCCTCGCCCCGGCGGGCCGGCCCACGTCTCTCTTCGCCAGACCCTCTCGCTCACCGGCTGAGGGGAAGGCGACAGGCTGAGGTTCAGATTCTTGACCCGCGACATCTTCAGTACAAAAACGTAGATCTATCACCTGCCAGAAACATTCGTGGGACCCAAACCCACCCGCCGTCTTTATTTGAACCGAGTCCGCGCTTCCTGATTGGCTGCGGGCACCGCAGGGCGTCAGGCCGCAGAGGCGCTCAAGGCTGGAGCAGGATGGAGCGTGAGTGGGCGGGACCGTCATTGGCCCCGCCCCTCGCGCTGGCCCCGCCCACGACGCCGCGCTCTCCTCAGCGACGCTGCCTTGGTTGGCGGCTTCGCACTGCAGGCCCGGCAGCTCTGAGGCCGGTTCTTCCCTGAGAGGACCTGACAGAGAGCTCGAAAGTCGGGGAGTCCGTTCTTCCCGCTGCCCGTGAGCCGCCCTCACACCCTGTCAGAAAAGTTGTGTCCAAAGCCTGGCCTTAGGAAGTCTTTGTCAGGTCTTCCTTAGGAGCCTCTCCCTTTAATCTCCACAGGAAAAAGCGGGTTAGGGAGACTCAGACGGGAAAGGTGAGTGGTTGATTTTTCCTGAGGTTTGGTCGGTTCTCCAGTTCTCAATCTAGGCCGCATTGCCACTTTCTGGCCTTTTCCTAGAGCTAACCGTAGGGCTTGCAACAAGTCCACCGTTAAAGCGAGCTAAACGTGTGCTTGGTGTGGTGCCTGCCGCTTCCTGTGGATGCCCATTCACTAGTCCCACTAATTTCCGCTGTCTCTTGCGACCTCTCCAAGTTTGAAATCTCCACTGTAAACTATGGAAAGGCAGGGACCCCTAGATCATCAGTGGGAACTGTATGTTCCTTGGGCGCCTCGACACCGGATTTACTCTTTGGAAGGTCTGAGGACCCTGAGCAGAAGCATTCCCAAAGGGAGAAACCATATATAATCCTTTTTGAACCGCAAGACCCTCACGGGATAGGCCCTTCTAGAACTGAGCAGTTGAGGACCTTAGCCACTAGCCACATGTGGTGTTGAGCACCCCAGAACTTGCTAGTGCAAACTAGGGATTCTCTAGGTGTAGGGTTTTGAAGCTTTATATGAAAGGGGGGTAAAAAAAGGGAAAATGTTCCTTTAAAATTGTTCTTGGGCAGGTGCCTGCCCCAGCTGCTCCACTTCGATCCAGCTCCCTGCTTGGGAAAGCAGTAGAGGATGGCCCAAAGCCTTAGGACCCTGCACCCACATTGGAGACCCCAAAGAGGCTCCTGGCTCCAGATTCACTCAACTCGTTATTGTTGCCATTTGGGGAGTGAACCAGCAGATGGAAGACCTTTCTCGGTCTCTTTTCCCAGTAAATCTGCCTTCCCAATAAAAATAAAATCTTTAAGAGAAAAATTCAGTCAGCACGGTAGCGTAGCAAGGTATTCCTCTGCCATCGTCCCGTATGGGTGCCAGTTCATGACTTAACTATTCCACTTCCCATCCAGCTCCCTGCTTGCGGCAGACCTGGAGGAGGCTCCGGCTGTAGCAGCCACTTAGGGTCAATCAGCGGAAAGTCTTCCTCTCTGTCTCCTCCTCTCTATATATTTGATTTTCCAATAAAAAAATAATAATAAAGTAAATCTTTAAAAAAATGTATTTATTAAATGCCACTGGCCCTTAACAATTATTATTATTACCTGAAAGAGTTAGGAATAGAAGAGAGAGGAATAAAACTTGCATCTGCTTGTTCACTTCACAAATGCCAAATGTTCATAACAGCCAAAGCTAGGCTGGCCAGAAACTGTGGGCCAGGAATCTCCTCTACAGACTTGAGCATTCCTCTGCTATTTTCCCAGGCCATTCCTGGGGAACTGGGTCAGAAGTGGAGCAGCTAGGACTTGAATTGGCACCCATACAGGATGCTGACCAAGATTAAGCAATTCTCTCCCTCCCAACCCCACCCTTTCATTTTTCACTTGTGTTACTCTATCTCTCCCAGGTTCTCTTCTCTCATGTTCTTTCTCTCTGAGAAGAAGAAAAAAAATATGAAATCCCTTTAAAAAAAAGAGAGGTTTCTTAAATTTATGCATTTTTGTCCAATCATTTGTAAAAACCCTTCCAAATCAGCTGACAGAGATCTGACTTGTAACTTCATATTTTCTTTATTTTGATGTTTTCTAATCTGTAATTCTCTTATAGACATTAACATTGTTATCACAAGGCACTTTTTTTCTTTCTAGTTTTGTTTGTTTAAAATACTGTTGGGGTGGTGACAGATGTTTTTCACCTGCTGATTCACTCCTCAAATCCCTCTAGGTTTGAATTGGGCTAGACTGAAACCAGGAGCCAGGAAAGAACTTCACCATCTGGTGTGTTCCCATATACCACGCAATAAGCTGAATTGGAGCCTGGTGCGATAGTGTAGCAGTTAAAATCCTTGCCTTGAATGCACCAGGATCCCATATGGGTGCCGGTTCTAATCCCAGTGGCCCCACTTCCCCGGCAGCTCCCTGCTTGTGGCCTGGGAAAGCAGTTGAGGACGGCCCAAAGCCTTGGGACCCTGCACCTGTGTGGGAGACCTGGAGGAGCGCCTGTCTCCTGCCTTCGGATTGGCTCAGTTCCAGCCGTTGTGGCCACTTGGGGAGTGAATCATCAGACGGAAGATCTTCCTCTCTGTTCTTATCCTCTCTGTATATCTCCCTTTCCAATAAAAATAAGTAAATTAAAAAAGAAGAAGAAGAAGAAGAAAAAGCTGAGTTGGAAGTGGAGTAATGGAGCCAGTCCATGATACAGTATGCTAGTCCTCCCAAGACAGGCACACATGCAGTCCATATGGGTGCCAGTTCAAGTCCCAGCTGCTCCATTTTTTTTTAAAGATTTGTTTTATTGGAAGGCAGATATAAAGAGAGGAGGAGAGACAGAGAGGAAGATCTTCTGTCCGATGATTCACTCCCCAAGTAAGCGCAATGGCCGGTGCTGTGCCAATCCAAAGCCAAGAGCCAGGAACTTCTTTCAGAGTCTCCAACGTGGGTGCAGGGTCCCAAGGCTTTGGGCGGTCCTCGACTGCTTTCCCAGGCCACAGGCAGGGAGCTGGATGGGAAGTGGAGCTGCTGGGATTAGAACCAGCGCCCAAATGGGATCCCGGAACGTGCAAGGTGAGAACTTTAACCATTATGCTATCGCACCAGGCCCATGCTCCACTTCTGGTCTAGCCCCCTGCTAATGGCCTGGGAAGGATCCAAGTCCTTTTGCCCTTCTGCTTGTTCACTTCTGCTTGTTGTAGCCATTTAGGGATTAAACCAGTGGTCAGAAGATCTCTTTCTCTCTGATGCTCTGCCTTTCAAATAAATTAATAACTTTTTAAATCCTAAGTTTTAGTATTAGGATCGACGATTTTATAAAAATCCTACTGTGTAACCCAAGTCAGAAACCTGGAGAAGTATCTACCTGGAGAAGTTTTGAGTGAACTTGAGGATGGAAGCTTGAATTATTAACCCTGCTTCTGTGTGCAAGAACAAAGGAGGCAGTGTGACAGGTTTTCTCCAGTAGGGCTCCCTATCAGCAGAACGCTGAAAGGGGCCAATGAAATCTGAAATAGTATGTTTTTAGAAAAAATGCATACATACATGCATGCACACACTATGGGGAAGAAAAAAGCATATTATTTTTGCAAATAAAGAAATTCCTAATTATTAGAATTCCTCAGAGTAGTTTGCTGAGCTTGTGTCGCTGTCCCGCAGCGACGGACTTGGTGCACGGAGCCGATAATAACACGCGTGGACCCTGACTGATGGTCAAAGCCGAAGTTTATTAGGGGCATCAGACTTTATACTCTGAAAGTCCGTATTGGGTAGGGGAGGAAGTATCGAGCACATAAACAAAACCATCAACTGTTTTCGCACTCTAGATTGGAATTCCTTTAGTCTTTACATCGCGCTAGGTGTTCTCATTTACATGCTGTTTACTCAACCCATGGGAACTATCTCCCAACAGGTATGCAAGAGGTAGTCATTTGGTTGTTTCCATGCAAATACTGCCCAATGAATGCAAACCTTCCAGGCTCACAATGTCCTCCTACAAGCTTGTCATATCAAAGCTTCACAGACTGAATGGCTTAAACCAGAAAAATTCTCTCACCATTCTGGAGGTTAGATGTCAAGGATTAATTTGATAGCAAGATTGGTTTCTTCTGTGGCCTCTCTTGCTGCCTTATTTAAAATGGCCATCTTCTTGTCTACAGGGTCTCCCCTTTGTATCCTGTGCTAATTTTTTGTTTGTTTGTTTGTTTTTGGTAAGAGATGTGTTTATTTAAGATTTATTTATTTTTATTGGAAAGGTAGATACACAGAGAGGAGGAGAGACAGAGATCTTCCGTCCACTGAGTCACTCCCCAACTGGCCGCAACAGCTGGTGCTGAGCCAATCCGAAGCCAGGAGCCTCTTCTGGGTCTCCCACATGGGTGCAGGGTCCCAAAGCTGTCGTCAACTGGTTTCCCAGGCCACAAGCAGGGAGCTGCATGGGAAGTGGAGCTGTGGGGATTAGAACCGGCGCCCATATGGGATCCCAGCACATTCAAGGTGAGCACTTTAACCGCTATGCTATTGTGCCGGGCCCAAGATGTTTTTATTTGAACAGAATGACAGAAACAGAGAGAAATCTGCTCACTGGTTCACTCCCCAAATGGTTGCAACAATGGATGCTAGGCCAGGATGGGATTTAAACCCAGTACCCTGATATGGAATACTGGTATCAAGGATGGGAAGCTTAAACTCTTTATAAGGATTCTAGTCATACTGGATTAGGGCCCACATTTATGAGTTCATTTTTGAAAAAATACTTGAGAGTAACTTTTATTATTATTGTATATATATATTTAATTTTTTTTATTGGAAAGTCAGATATACAGAGAGGAGGAGAGACAAGAGAGGAAAAGCTTCCATCCATTAATTAACTCCCTAAGTGCCCGCAACAGCCAGAGCTGAGCCAATCTGAAGCTGGGAACCAGGAGCCTTTTCTGGGTCTCCCATGCAGGTGCAGGGTCCCTAGTCTTTGGGCTGTCCCCGACTGCTTTCCCAGGCCACAAGCAGGGAGCTGGATAGGAAACAGGTCCGCCAGGACATGAATCAGCACCCATACGGGATCCCAGCACATGCAATGCAAGGAATTTAGCCTCTAGGCTACTGCACCAGGCCCTTTGATTTTCTTTCTTTCTTTCTTTCTTTTTTTTTTAAGATTTATTTACTTTTTATTGGAAAGTCAGATATACAGAGAGGAGGAGAGACAGAGAGGAAGATCTTCCCTCCAATGGTTCACTCCCCAAGTGACCACAACAGCTGGAGCTGAGCCAATCCGCAGCCAAGAGACAGGAGCTCTTCCGGGTCTCCCACGCAGGTGCAGGGTCCCAAGGTGTTGGGCCGTCCTCGACTGCTTTCCCAGGCCACGAGCAGGGACCTGGATGGGAAGCAGGGCCGCTGGGATTAGAACCAGCGCCCATATGGGATCCCGGAGCGTGCAAGGCCAGGACTTTAACCACTATATCGCACCAGGCCCTGATTTAATTTTTTAAACGCCCTTCTCCAAATACACTCTGAGGTACAGGGAGTTAGGACTTCAATCTTAAAAAATTTGGGGGAGCAGGTGAAGCACTTGACTCCTGGCTTTGGCCTGGCTCAGCCCTGGCCATGAAGGCCCTCTGGGAAGTTAACCAGCGGATACAAGATCCATGTTTCCCCCTAACTCAGACTCCCAAATAAGTAAATAAATTGTGTTTAAAAAATTGTGTGCGCAGGAAAAACACAATTGACACAATTCAGCCCATCAAAAGGGTTAATAATTCAGTGTATGTGACTGATTTATTTTTTTAAAAAAGCTTTGACAGTATTTCTACATTGAAGACATTATTTGAAGCAACCAAGGAATTGAGATTACAAATTACATATACAATATAAAAATAACTTACATTAGAGGTTAAAACAATGAACTACAAAGACTTTTCCAGAAGAATAAAAGGATTAGTATTGACTAATTTCCAGTTTTTACTTATATACAGTAAAACATCCATGTTTACATGTTTATCCGGTTTCTTTTACGTAGTAAAAAATCAAAGCATAGGGCTAAAATATCATTTCAGAGTGTATATTAACAAATGCTATGTGTATTTCAGGGGAGTAAGTGATAGGTATTATGTACATAGGTAAGTGATTCTGAATGGAGAAAATCTTTTTCAAAATTTACTTTATGAAACTTGGTCCTATGAAAAAAACCCTCATGACATTAACATTGAGCCATGCACACAGGATAATAAAAGCCTCTCTGCATGTGCCCTTTGAAAAAGCATCACAGAAACCTGAACCCCATTTTCACAGTTATCCACCAGTGGTTGTAGACCCCTGATTTTATACCACAAGAAAACAATAATCCAGAAAATTTGAAATGCCTTATTTAAAGACATTGACATAATTGTTGGATCTAGGCACCAATTCTAAATTCTAATCTAATGTTTTCTATTATTCTGGAAATCATCAATTCCTGTTTAGTATTCAGGATTTTTATCCAGTGTGCAATTCTGGTTACAACTTACCAATAATAATAATATTATAAAGTATGTAAAGAGAAACCTATGAGATGAAACAATTAAGAATACATTCTATTTATTTAGATCCCAATCTTATTACAAAAAAGATGTACAAAGACATTGATAACATAGTAATCTAAAAAGATTAAAATTTAAAAATGAGAAGAAGGAAAATAAAGACAGGGAGCTAGAACCAAAAGCATAACTAGTATACATGTTAAATACTTCCTAGAGGTAGACCATGGGTCAGGTACTAAGTGGTCTAGCATTAATACAAAGAGTAAACCTCAATCAGTTGAATATCTAAATTCCTTAAAGTAAGAATCAAACAGCAATTAAGGAAAAGCACAACTAGGCCCAAAGAAAATGCCCATGCACCCTTCAATATTATGAACACATCCTTTTAGAGTATCCACAGCTATTAAGTTTCATAGATTTTGATGGATGGCCAAAGTACAAACTAGGTAAAGCAACTCTGAAGAGGTTAGCAAAATGCTAGCTAGCTATAAGGTAAAAAAAGCCTACCATAAAAATAAAAATTATCCCCCTAAACTTCAGAACACAAATTAAGTTTTTGAGCAGTTAAAGACATTAAAAAGAAATAGTAAATAAAAAGAAAGCATGAAAGTCATGTAACCTAGAAATGTATACAAACTCAAGGTCCAAAGGATTTTTCTTACAAAATAAATGCTTCTTGAGCTATATTTGTAACCTTTAATCTTGGGGTTCATGTCCTCTGAATTGCTTGTCCATTAGGAACAGAATCCTGTGTCTTTCAAGGAGGTTTAGCAAAAATTTATATAGCTGTTCTAATTACCCCTAGAGAACATATTTAAATCAGCTATATTTTTCTTTTATGTTTGTTTTCTTCCTCACACTAGGCTACTGGATTCACTTTCTAATTCTTAAAAATTATACTGATTAAAGACTGGTCTGGGGCTCCAAGATCACAATTTTTTAGTGCAAATTTAGGGGTTTAAAAATGAGAGCTTTTGAGATCTTTGGAAGATATTCATAGTTTCCAGTCAGCCAATTAACGCATAAATAGCATCTTGGGACCTATTAAGTGTTACTACTGCCCAAGAAAGGAAACACGGCAGAGACATAAGGAGAAGGAAAAATAGAAGCCAATTTCAGCTACTTGAGGATAAGAGCAAGAAATAAAGCCAAGGAAAAGGTTTCCACCCTCATCTGACAAGTGAACTGAGAGATGTGCTGTGTGTTGGGGAAAGGCTAAGACCAGCTGTGGCTACCAACAGCAGAATGACTTAGATCTGGCTCCAACACTTTGAATAAAATGGCAAGGGGCTACAAAATAAAAAACTCGATTTTCTCAGCTGGCCCCAATCTAGCAGCAGTCCAAGCATGAGTGGAGGGTCAAGCATGGATGAGGTTTGCCAGGAACGATTCCAGATCGCAGTCAAAGTCCTTAAAGGGCATGAACTCCAATGGATTAGGTTGTGTAACTTGTGTTTCCATGACAAAGTCTGCTGGTTGCTTCTGTAGGAGCTCTGGGTCAAATGCCACACCCCGAAAGAAAGGGTGGGTCTGGAACTGATGTAGATAACGTAGCCGGTGGAGGGGATTCTGGCATAAGAGCTGAAGGAAAGTAGAGCATGAAGGATGAGGGACTGAGGTAGAGAAGGAGCGGAACAGAGAAGGTGGAAAGACATTCATGGAGCAGGGGCCTGGGGGAGTTAGAAAGACCCTGCAGAGTGAGAGATTTGAAAAAGAGGGAGAAATAAAGGATAATTTGGGGCAAAAGTAGGAATAAAGCTACTGTATTTGTTCATTTTCAGGTGGCAGAAGTGCAGAACTAGAATACTGTCAGAATTTATCTGTTCTGGATGGGGAGGAGATTTAGGGGATCAGAAACTTGGGAATCAACTCTGAAGAACTAGCTAGGTGTTTACGTGGTTAATTGGAGCTTGTCTAAAAAAAAAATCAATCGTTGGAACTGGGAATATCACTTCAAAGGGAAGGGAAGGAGAGAGTGAATGGTCTGGTACTCAAGAAAAGGCAGTGCTTACTCTTACCTCATGAAGTAGAAGTGAGAGCTCCTGGTTAAGAGACGCTGGGATCTCAGAGTCACAGTGGGTCACATTTGCCAACATGGCCACATGATCTCTCTCTGCAGCTACTGGGAACTGAGTTAAGAGGCAGGAATGGGAATAAAGCAAGATTGCCTATGGTCTTTCTTCCCACTCACAGGGCAAAGCTGCTTTCTTTGCACAACACTGTTCTCACCTTTCCAGTTGCCAGGGAGAAAAGCAAGACACCCAGGGACCACCAATCAGCAGCATGGTTGTAAGGCCCTCCACTCAGGACCTCTGGTGCTACAGATTTGAAAGATACTTGTCACTGATGTCCGTTGGCTATCTTACCCACTGCTTACCCATCAGCTTTAGTCTCTCACCCATGTACTGAAGAGTACCACAGATGGTATAAGCTTGGGCTCCACGGGGTAGATGGCGGGACAGACCAAAGTCTGTTAGTTTCAGATGACCTATGAAAAAAGGCAATTAGCATCACTCCATTCTACTTCTCACTGGCCATGATTTATTGCCAAACCAAGGTGCTTCTTACACTGGGGCTGGGAAACAAAGACTTACCTCGTTCATCCAGAAGGATATTCTCCATCTGAAAAGATAGAGGTGAGAAGTTATTATTCATCTTCTTTTCAACCTTTTCATCAAATATAACCCCACCTGAAGAAGGTGCCCTACTCAGCATCCAAATCTTTTTTTTTTAAGATTTATTTATTTTTATTGGAAAGGCACGTCAGATTTACACAGAAACAGAGTCAGAGAGATCTTCGATCTGCTGCTTCACTCCCCATGTGGCTACAACATCCAAAGCTAAGATGATCCACAGGAGCCAGGAGCTTCTTGTGGGTCTCACACATGGCTGCAGGGTCACAAAGCTTTGGGCTATCCCCTATTGCTTTTCAAGGCCGTAGCAGAGACCTGGATGGGAAGTGGAGCAACTGGGACACAAACCAGCACCCAGTGCTTGCAAGGTGAGCACTGAGAAACACTGAGCTGGGCTCAACATTCAGATCTGTACTTATGTCTGGCACCCATGGGGGCCCCAAGGTTAGATGTTCTCAGATCTCAACGTGCTTTCATGGACCCGACTTTTGAGGGTTCTCCTCAAAGGGAAATAATACTTAACTCTACCTTCACATCTCGGTGGATGATGCCCAAGTCATGGAGATAGCCTGTGGATGACAGTAAGCATGGAGTGATCTGAGCTATCCTGTCCTTGCTGATTTTCCTGGTAGGCCCTACTCCATCCCTATCCTGATCTGCTGATTTTCAAAGTTAATATCAATTTTATTTATCTCATCCCCTGCAACTTGCCTCTCCCTCCCCATTTCCTTTACCCATTTCACTTACACAGCACCAGGACCAGCTCAGCAGCAAACAGACGGATGGAAAGCTCAGGAAAGCAGCCAACAGCTGACCACAGGGAGTACAGATCTGTGCTGTAGTAGCTACACACTGCAAAGCACCAGAAATGTAGGCGTTGTTGTGGAAGCTTCTTTCCTGGGCTCCTTCCCAATCTAATGTCACCTGCTGTTCCCTCTCTCTTTAGGAGAGAAGTGCTATGAGAAAGGGAATACAATAGGGACAGAAAAAGCCCAGAGAGGTAGCCTTAGGTGGGGACAATGGCACAAGGACTTTTGGGAATGACAAGCTAGACACTCACTAATGAAGAGGTGCCGTTTTCCTTGCCAGCTGTCCCCCAAGCTGTGTATGAAAGGATGACTGATGTGTCGCTAGGGACAAAGAAAACAGGAAATTAGGAAACAAGAAGGTCAGTGAGAATAAAGATGGCCCAAAAATTGGTTCTACAGAATGTGAGCTGCTGTCTCACTTGTCAATTTACAGAAACTCAGTAACTGAGACTGACAGCATGGTAATCCTACAACCAGCATAAGAAACATACTGGAGATTTTTCTGCCAAGAGCTAATGTTAACTATGTTGGTAGCCGATGGCTACTTTTCCCAGGATCTAGTCTGATGTTAAACTAGGGCTGAAACAAATGGAGGTCAAATCCAGGGAAAGAAGCTAATCTGAGCAAGAAAAGGTATTTTCTCCACCTACAAATTTAGTTCTTTCCACCATTCTTTCCAGAACTCTGCATACCTGGATATTAATCTCCTCTTTACACTGCCTCAAGGTGTTCCTCTGCAGGACTTTTACCTTGGGCACCACCTGTAAAAAATGAGTGATGACTTACAGAGGAGACCAGTGTATTGAATTATTTATGCCCTTAAACTTATCTGGAACTAAGAATGGAAACAGGGAGAAGAGCATAATGTGGAGAATACCTTCAGCGCAAATACACACTTCCTGGCACAATCTAGCACCTTCAGGACAGTTCCAAAGGAGCCTTTGGCTACAAGGCCTAAAATCTGTAGAAAAAAGATTGGCAGTTGAGACTGGTGGTTTCTAGATTTCTCCCAGACCCCTCATAAGGACTCCATTGACCTACCTTCAGATGCTGCTGCCCCCTAATGGGCCTCAGAGGAAATTCCGGTAAAAAGAGATTGATGAACTGAGGCACAGGCCATTCAGACAGAGGCTTCTCTAGCAGTGGGGCTGGCTCTAGGGACTTTGGTTGCAGGCACTGATGCCCCCGTAGTTCCCACAGCTCTTCCAGACCTGATCTGATGGGACCCATTTCTGACCAGAGGCACTTCCAGCCTAGGCTCCAGGAGCCCTGGATGTTGCCACCCTGACAAGAACCAAGGAAGCCACTCTATAAACTTTCTGTCCCTGAAGCATTGCAGGTTCAGCCCAACTTGGCAGGTACTCTTTCTTGTTCTCTCAAGCCTCACTTGCTGAGGTACATTTTTCACCAGGTAAAACTCAATGCTTTGTATGAGGTACTAGATATCCTAGATACAGCTGAAATCATCTAGGGAAACAACTGTTGGTTTCTCCATGAAACACCAGGAACATAATCTCTGCCTCACAACAAGGCTTTGCTTTCTTCACCTTACAGCCTTCCCACCCCCACCCCCACAGTGGGTATCACTGACATGCTCTTCACCACATCCCAGGCTTGAGGCCAATGCCTCCTTCACCTCTTGTCAACAGGCTGCCAGAGCCCCCACAGCCTACCTTGCGAGGAGCAGCCACACGGGTGTGTTGCCCCTGCCGACAGCTTACTGCTCCCATCCCAGTCTCTGCCTCCTCTCCTTCTGCTAAATCTGTCCCAGTTATGTAAGCCATTCCTCCCCCTGACGTGCATTACACATGAGCCCTGCCTCTTGTAATGTGCCAAGACCCGTCAGAATGAGGCCAATGGCACACTGTAGCTAGGAAGAATCTGTGATACAGTGTCAGCACAGAGGATGAGGCTATTCTTGTTAAAGTGGCAGCTGTAAGGTATTTGGGTTTGATGTGGAGGTAAGAACGCAGGTCGAACACATACACTCAACACACATGCATACACAAAAAGCCAGCATCAAATTTAAAATATTTTTTTCTTTTGATCACTTTTTGCCATTCTCCATCCAGGATACACCCCAAGGTAAGGGACCCATGGCCAGCCCTAGCTCTGATGACCATCTTCCCAAATGAGCTTAGCACACAGACTGGGGAAAAGCCGATTCCTCCCAAAACAGTAACACCTTTTATTCAAGGCAGTGGAGTGAGGGACAGAGGATCAGCCTCTTTCCCTCAGCTTCCTGGCACAGAGGGAGAGCAGTTACACTTACAAATATATATGTGTGTGTGTATATATATATATATTTATATATGTCTTTATATAAAAATTTATCATACTTGATCATGACTATAACCCTACCCTTTCAGTTGACCCCCAAGGCCCATTTTCTGGGTCTTGCTCTCCTGTTGCCTCTGTGGCCCTGGGCCTGATTGGCATGGGATGGAACTCAACATTATTATCTACCACGTCCCACAGGGAACAGGCCAGCTGCTGAAGAGCAGTGCCCCTCTCCACTTTTTCCTCTGGGCTCCTGACCCAAACACATCCTGAGGGATAAAGTGAAGCCCCTCCAAACAAATCCTGAAGGATGAAGGGAAGCCCCTCCCATCCCATAGTCCGTGCAGCCTGAGCCAGAGTCAGATCCTGAACTGTAGCCACTCGGTCAACAGATCACTTGCGCCTGCTGAAGATGGACTTCTTGCTAGGGTTCTTGTTGCCCACACTTAAACCGATGAGGAGTCGGGCTTTCTCCTCCTCTTCCTGCTGTTGCATGTTCAGGTGCGATTTAGCTTCTAGCTTTCCCCGGGCTTCAGACCCTGTTGCAGGCTTCAGCCTTAGCTTCTCTTTGATTACCTGGCAAGTTAAGAGAGTAGAAGGAAAGATAAATATTAGTGGGACATGTAAAATAAATCAAAATAAAGCTAACTAAGATTTATTAAACTTATATGCAAGGGCACAATTTAGATCTTAAGTCTTCTTTGTAGAAGCTTACAGTCTAAACAGAACCCAATCTAAGCTTGAAGTTCTGGAAGCCCTTCATTACCTTAAAATTAGCGGTGGTTAACATAGATAAAATAGATCAATAAATATTTAATTTGATCATCTGGGTGCAATCATGAAGAAGGCATGGATAGAAATCACTTCCTTCATTCACCTGCTCTTTCCCAAGGCTATTTGTTAGTATATTTTAGAATGAACAGCTCTTGAACAGACCTGCTTGCTAGCCCTTGCTAACCAACAGACATGAGCCCTACTGGAATACCTGGGCGACCAGGGCTTTGCGGCTATCCCTTTTGACAGCCATGGCAAAGTCTAGCCATGTCCATGTGTTGTTATGGTATTCCAGACAAGGCAACACCAGGTTTAGGTCACCCCAATCCACGCTGTTCTTCTCACCCTGCAGGAAAAAAAAAAAAAATGCAGAGAGGAGAGAAAATAAGGAAAAGACACATAAATTGCTGTTTTGAGGCTAAGCCAATACCTGATTGTGAGTCCTATGACACCAACCTACACACATTTGATTTTATCTTACCTCAACCTAGTAGAGGTTCTGAGGGAAGAGATTTAACACCCACAGCCCAGCTTCACATGAGGCCTGGCTATTTCCCTGTCTATGGTAATCTCTGAAGATCCTATCTGGTTCAATTCCCACCCTATTCTAGAAAGTGCTGAGAAGATGCAGACCTTGTAACTGACACACAGTGGGACCTGAGGAATCTTTATGTAGATGAAAGAATTGTTCATGGCAGCTCGCTCTTTCATCTTGTCAATATCATCCACAGGGTGCTAGGAAAAAACAGCATAGGAACATGAGCCCCTAAAGCCATCAGAAAAAAATATAGGACGCTCAAGATCTTTCCTCTTCTTTTACCTCTGGAGCAGACTGAAAGGAAACACAGGAAATCCCCAGTCAGGCCAGTTTCTCAGGACTCTCCCATTTTTCTGTCATCAGGAGCATGTCAATACCTCAGGTGATTTGCGAAATGACCTTCTGACCCCAGAACTCCGAGTCAAGCCCTGCGTCACACCCTTTCCAGGGCCCATCGGTACTGGATCATCTGTTGGAATCAGCTGTCGAGGCTTCACCACTGGTATGCCTGTGAAAAAGCAAGGGCACGGGTTGGGCACCGTGTGGTACTAAACTGCTGCTTATGAGCTTGTGATGCTCGCATCTCACACTGGAGTGCCTGATCCATGTCCTGACTGTACTTCTGATCCAGCTTCCTGCTAATGCACCCAGGAGGCTAGCAGGTAACTCAAGTGCTTGAGCTCTTGCCATCCTTGTGGGAAATTCAGATGTTGTTTTGGATTCCTGACTTTGTCCGGGCCTAGTCTTGGCAGGGGAATGAACCAGAACATGGTAGATTTTTTTCCTCTCTGCCTCTTCAGTAAGAATCTTTGTCTCTCTCTTTAAGAAATAGAAAAAGTGAGCATAGAAACTCTAAGCCCTTTTCTGACCCTTCAGCTGTCTCTGTGGCTGCCACCCCATCCTTCTGATGCTCCACCTTGCAATTTCTTACCAGTAGTCACCAGTTTGGATTTGTCCTCTTCATCACCAACTTCATCATCTTCCACATTTCGACCAGGAAAGAAAAAGCCCATCATTCTATGGAAGAACTGGTGGGTCAGCTGGATGGTGAGAGGCACCACATTCACCTAAAGGACAAAATGTTTAAGAAGGAATTAAATCCAAACGCTATCCCTCCATTTCCTACCCCTACTATGACATAATACACAGCTAGTTTTTGCTACCCTTTTTTTTCTTGGACTCACAAGGAACAGTTTACTAACCTCAAAATGTTCTTTAACAGAGATACCCCCAACTGGTGGGCGGACTTTGCTGAAGAGGCGAAGGGCTAGCTGTCGCCCAGACTGGCAGGAGCTCTGGGGCCGCAGAACTACCTGTGCAGTAAGTTAACAACAGTCCAACACAATGACCTCACTCCCACAAATCCTTTGCAGAATGAGAGGACCTATCATGCTAAGTTGGTAAGCTTTAGTCATTTCACATCATCCCATTATTTCCCTTAGTGGGTTTATACGGAAATGCCCTCTGCTAAGAGTCATGTGAATAAGCTGGAAATAGGGAAGTTAAGACTTGCCTTGTATACAGCATTAGGGAGGAGGTTGTTCATAGTGAACCAGCCTAACTCCAGGAGATGTTCTGCTGTGTCATCAGACTTATTCACCTGTAGACAGATTTTGTCATGGTCACTGAGGTAAGCCTTTCTCAGGAACTTGCTACAGAACAGTTTGTTTTTAAGTTTTTCCATATGTCTAATAATAACTGATATCTCTTTCCATCTCATACAATCAATACAACCTCTAAACCAGTTTCTTATGCGTGCTATTGGCCAGGTCACTAAATGCCAATAGTATTTCCTAGTCATTAGGACAACAACAAAAAATCTCATTCATTTGCAAATGTCCCCTTGTGAGGAAACTAATGAATAATGGCCTCTCCTTCCTATTACTAGTTAATTGCCATAAAGCTCAAGGACAAATTATAACAGTTCTATTTCAAGATGGACTAGAAGATTTCTCTAGGCCACACTTCCAGTAACAGATAATCTTACTCAAAGAGAGACACATTTGATTAAATTCATCTATACTGGCATTTAATATTACAAACCAAAGTGCCTTAGAGAGTTGTACTCATGTTTCTAAGTATCATAGCTAATATTCATGTAATAATTAGCCCACTTTTGCGTATCTCTTTTTCTATTTCCTGAGAAAGATCAATACAACTGCCTCTCAGTGTGACTTTATGTCCAAGATACCTTGCTATACAGGAACCTTTGCAGCTCCAGTTCAGCAATCCCCAGCTGTCCATCTTCCTCTGTCAGGCGCCACCGTGCCTGAGCAAAGTAAAACTCAGTGCGACGGACCACACTCACATCTTCTTGTTGCTTTCTCAACTCCATCTTGTTGGCTCTCTGTAGCTGGAAATCCTTAAAACACCTGTAAGTGAAATGGAGAGCCACAGGCAGTTTAAAAAAAAAAAAAAAAAAAAAAAAAGGAGCACTCAGGCTAGGAGTAGAATGCGCTAGAATGATGCAAAACTCTAGCGATGATCCTAATCTTGCACAGTTAGACCCTACAAATTTTTTTTTTCCCACTGGGTTTACATCTCAACCACGGGAGCACAAATTCTAGCTTTCCAAATCCCAGCTTTCACCCTTATAGCTCTTCCTCTATCTTTTGAATCTGATGATTCCATCTATAATTTTGTTCCTTACTGATTAATTTCTAGATATTCTCAGTTCAGGTGCACAATATGAAGGTCACAAAAATGATATTTCACAACCACTCAATTATCTTTATAGTACAAACTTTCCTAGGAAGTTCTCTAATGAGGATCCCAAGGAAGGACTCTGAATTTCTTAGGCAAGTTAAATGACAATTAATAGGGCCCGGCGGTATGCCCTAGTGGCTAAGGTCCTCGCCTTGAACGCACCGGGATCCCATATGGGCGCTGGTTCTAATCCCGGCAGCTCCACTTACCATACAGCTCCCTGCTTGTGGCCTGAGAAAGCAGCCGAGGATGGCCCAAAGCTTTGGGACCCTGCACCCATGTGGGAGACCCGGAAGAAGTTCCTGGCTCCTGGCTTCGGATCGGCATAGCATTGGCCGTTGTGATCACTTGGGGAGTCAATCATTGGATGGAAGATCTTCCTCTCTGTCTCTCCTCCTCTCTGTATATCTGACTTTCCAATAAAAATAAATAAATCTTAAAAAAAAAAGACAATTTATGTATTTCAAAGACATGGGGATAGAGAGATAGAGGTCTCTCATCCATTGGTTCACTCCCCTCATGTTCACAAAAGCCAGGATTGAGCCATGCCAAAGCTAGCAGCCAGGAACTCAATCCACATCTCTCATGTGGGTGGCAGGGACTCTACCCGACCTATCACGTTCTACTACCTATCATGGTGCCAAAGAGCAGGAGCTAAAATTGAGAGCAGAGCTGGGGCTCAAACCTAGGCACTCTTTAATCCTAACCATTATGCCAAATACTCACCCCCCTGCTGTACCTTTAATAATGTACACAACACCCAAAGACTGTTAGAATATGGTGAGCAGGGAAATGGACAGGGAAAGAATGCTAGAGTACCTGATGAGGATATTCAGCTCTTCACTTTCTAGCTGCAGGTTGGTCTTCTCCTGGTCTAGTTGCAACTGAAGTTTTTGGTTTAGGTCAAGCAGGTTTTCATTCTTACTGTCATCCTGCAAAGACTAGGAAACGAGGGTAAGATAAATTAAGAGGCGCTCTTCCTTGTCTGAAGAGACCTCCTGTCCTCAGATCACCTGGGATGACTACCTTCATGACAGAATACATCTGCTTCTCCAGCTGCCGTATCTGGGCCACGTGCTGCCGCACAGCCTCCTGCAGGTGCAATATGCTGCTGCGCTGTTCCTCAGGATTGCTAGAAATCTCAAGCTGGAATCTAACCCGCTGTTTCTTTTCACTGTGCTCCTATAGGAATGCAAAGGAAAATGATATTTTTTAGAAAGATTTATTTATTTTTAGTAGAAAGTCAGATTTACAGAGACATGAAAGACAGAAATATCTTCTGTCTGCTGGTCCACTCCCCAAGTGGTCGTAACAGTTGGAGCTGAGTCGATCCAAAGCCAGAAGCTTCCTCTGGATCTCCTACAAGGGTATAGGGTCCCAAAGCCTTGGGCTGTCCTCGACTGCTTTCCCAGGCCACAAGCAGGGAGCTGGAAGGGAAGTGGAGCATCTAAGACACAAAACGATGCCCACATGGGATCCTGACACGTGCAAGGCTAGGACTTCAGCCACCAGGCTACAGAGTGGGGCCCTATGAACAAGATTTCTAACCAACAAATCTTGTGGTAAAGTGAAACACAGAACAGAACAAGAAATGGTATTCAATTAGTAAGAATGAGGGGTGGATCAATGCAGATTTGGCAATGTGGATATCACAATAAATCAGGGGCATGTAGGCCAAACTGGGGAGCAATTTCTGTTTTAGGCAGTATGGAGAAGTGACCAGGAAGAATGATCACACTTGCTTTGAGGATGCTCAGGCGTTCCTTTCCTAGATAAGTGAAATTTCTACTGCTGAGCTTATAAGACCTACTAAAGAAGTGTTTGATTTGGTTTTTTTAAAACAGATTTTTTAAAGATGTGAATATAAAGCACAAGGTCAGCTAAATAGCATCTTATTAAGAGCTCATACTCACCTTCCGCTTGGGTTCTACATGGAGTAGCAAGTTGTTGACAATGTCCAGAATCATGGCATACTGAGCTGGGTTGGTAGAGATTTCTAGCTCATGATGAATCAGAGTAAAGGTATCCACAGCCCCTAAGTAAATATTAGCAGATAAATAAGAAGATTAAGTCTTCCCAAACATCTATTCTGTTAATTCACATTGAAAACCATCCCTAGGCCCTGTGCGTTGGCTCAGTAGCTAAAGCCTTGGAAGCACTAGGATCCCATGGGTGCCAGTTGCTGTGTTAGGTGCTCCACTTCCCAGCCAGCTCCCTGCCTGTGGCCTGGGAAAGCAGTAGAGGACGGCCCAAAGCCTTGGGACCCTGCACACATTTGGGAGACCTTGAGGAAGCTCTTGGCTCCTGGCTTCTGCCTCTAAACTGGTTCAGCTCTGGTCGTTGTGATTATTTGAGGAATGAACTAGTGAATATCTTTCACTCCCTATCTCTATAAATATGATTTGCCTTTCTAATGAAAATAAATCCTTTAAAAAAAACCTATTGATTTATTTATTTTGTTGAAAAGTCAGATGTACAGACAGAAGGAGAGACAGAGAGAAAGATCTTCATTCTTCTGGTTCATTCCCTAAGTGGCTGCAACAGCCACAACTGAGCTGATCCAAATTCAGGAGCCAGAAACCTCTTCTGGGTCTCCCACGTGGGTACAGGATCCCAAGCCTTTGGGCCGTCCTCGACTGCTTTCCCAGGCCATAAGCAGGGAGCTAGATGGGAAGTGGAGCAGCCAAGATATGAACCAGCGCCCAGATCGGATCCTGGCACATCCAAAGCAAGAAGTCTAGCCATTAGGCAATTGCACCAGGCCCTAAAATAAAGAAATCTTTAAAGAGAAAACCATCTCTGTTATCTCACCCCACAAAAAGACAGTAAAACTCATGGATAGAAATGTTTGCTAATTTCAGACTCATAAATACTTATTCATCCTAGGTTCCTCCAAGAGTACAAGTTGTTCTCTCACACAATGGGTATAAAAATGTAGAGCAAAGTAAAATGTACTGCCAATATATAATGGGACTTTTAATAATTATACTGTTAGGGCTGCTACTGCGGCATCCTTTGCCACCTGTGATGGCAGCAACTGATGTGGGCAACGATTCATGGCCTTGTTGTTCCAATTTAAGTATTACATACTAATTTTTTGAAAGGCATATTTGCAAAAAGGAGGAGGCAGAGAAGGAAAGAGATTCCAATTGCTGGTTCATTCCCCAAATGGTTAGAGCTGAGCTGATCCGAAGCCAGGATCCAGGAGCCTCTTCCGTGTCTCCCGTGTGAATGCAGGGTCCCAAGGACTTGGACCATCCTCTACCATTTTCCCAGGCCATAAGCAGAGAGCTGGACAGGAAATGGAGCAGCTAGGACACAAACCAGCACCCACCCATAGGGGATGCCAGTGCTTTGAGGATGGAGGATGATCCTGTTAGCCACAGTGCCAGCCCCAGTCATTCTACTTTTGACCTAGCTCTCTGGTAATGACCCAGGAAAAGCAGCAGAGGATAGGCCAAGTGCTTGTTCCCCAGTGTCCTATGTGACAGACTTGGATGAGGCCCTTGTCCTGGCCCAGCAGTGGCCACAGCCAGGACATGAACTGGTGCCCATATTGGATTCCAGCACTTGAGAGATAAGGATTTAGGCACTGAGCCATTGTGCAGGGCCCGCTAAAAATCTTTCAAGCCTTGAATACCTTCCTGCTTCTTTAGGAGATCTTCCTTTTCCTGGTTTTCATGGACCTCCGGTGGCTTAATCTGAGTTGCTAGTTCAGGGTCAATATCATGGCTGTAACTAATATAGTACATTCGACAATTGCAACGTGAGATGATCCGCTGAACTTGTTGGGCCTGCTGTGCTTCAGCTGGCTGATTCCAATCTGGGAAGAGGCAAAAAAGAGATAAGAGAAAGACATTCTCAGTAAAGGCATTGTGAGAGACTTCCAGCTATGTGTGATACCTGGGGAATTATAAAAACAGTGCTTTCAAGCTGACACAGCACAAAATGATCCTGCTCTGGTGCAGGTAGATGTTCTGTGAAGGAAAGAAAAGGAAGCCCCCCTGGAATAAACATTTGCTCCCAACCATACAGGAGGGAAGACAGACTACTGACCTGTGGTTGTAGTAACCATGCCTCCCACTGCCTGCCCACTCTCCATCAGCTCCTGCACAGAGTCCAGACTACGCTGCCGGTGTTCCTTGATATTCTTCACCTAAAGGCACAGATGCAGGCACCTTTAGCTCCTGTGGACACAGTGGCTTTCCTGGCCAAGGGTCACAGAGCTCCATGTTTCAAGGGCAGTAAAATACTGATGACACCTTAATCAACAAGGAGCCATGCATATAATGGTAGTCTCCTAATGATGTCATAGCCATTCTAGTTTATGAAAGTGCATCTTATGATGTTCACACAGTGAGCTATTTCTCAGAACACATCCCTTAGTATGCAACACATGACTGTACTGACACTTACTATCATCAGGAGCTATATCATGAAAAAATTTTTAATGAAAAAAAAAAAAAAGGCATACCTACTACAAGCAGAGGCCCAGAAAATGCTGAGGATTCCTGACAGCTTATCCACCATAAGGAGCAGACACCCTCTGTTCCCACCTCTGAAGACAGCTAGTAGAGGGCAGTGCCTGCTGAGTCACTGCTGTTATACGAGTCTCATGTTAACTGACAACCTGGCCTTTATTTGGCTCAACATCTAATCTAAATACTAATTACCTCATACATAATTGCACTTGAGGTTGCCTGGATTAAGCCCTAATGTCCTTGATATAAAAAAATTACCAGCCAGGGAACAGTGGGGAAGGGATCAGTCTTACAATTATTGAATGAAATAGCAAATGAAACTGTCATTTTGGTTCTTAAAGAATGACAAAGAGGAAAGATAGAATCTTCTATCCACTGGGTCAACCCCCAAATGGCTACAACAACCCTAGGTTTGGTCCAGGTCAAACCCAAAAGCTCCATTCTGGTCTCCCCACAAGGATCCCGTGCACTCGGTCCGTCTGTCTTCCAAAACACATCAGCAGGGAGACAGAATAGAAGCAGAGATTTCAAACCAGCACTCTACTATGGGATGCCAGTGTCAGAAGTGGAGGCTTAAACCACCACACCAGAATTCCTGCCCTGCCCCAAGCTTGCTCGTTATCAGAGGCAGCTAGATCCCTAACTTACTTGAGAATATGCCATGCCAACCACAATGCAGGCACCTATTACCTATTAAAAATCTGGGCCTGGCATGATAGCCTAGCGGCTAAAGTCCTCGCCTTACACATGCTGGGATCCCATATGGGTGCTGGTTCTAATCCCGGCAGCTCTGCTTCCAATCTAGCTCCCTACTTGTGGCCTGGGAAAGCAGTAGAGGATGGCCCAAAGCCTTGGGACCCTGCACCCGCGTGGGAGACCAGAAAAAGGCTCCAGGCCCCTGGCTTCAGATCGAGGCAGCTCCAGCTGTTGTAGTCACTTGGGGAGTGAATCATTGGATGGAAGATCTTCCTCTCTCTCTCTCTCCTCCTCTCTCTATATCTGACTTTCCAATAAAAATAAAATTTTTAAGAAATATATATATATTTTTAAAATATGACAACACAGTATTGGCTACATATAACAGGCCCTACGAATCAGAACAGGTATATCATATCCTAGAAATTATAGTATAAATTCAGTTTTACCAAGAAACAGAAAACTCACAACCTTGCAATTAATAACAAGCTCCTCTCCTAGTCCTGCCAGCTGTTCACAAACTCATCAATAAGGTATCTTTCTAAACACACGTACCCAAACATGCTGATTTAAAAAAAAAAAAAACTACTTTCCATCTGAATAAAGAATTATACTTGTCAAAGTCCCTTCTCATTTTCCATTTTTTATATAAAGGTGACTTGCCCAAGGAGCTCATCATGGCTGTCACTGGAAGTCACTTAACTCTTAAATAGTTTTTAATTCAACCTTAGTGCTTTGCTGAAATAACCAATCGTCTTTATAAAAGACGTCAGAGAAAGTGCAGAGACCTGATGTAGACATTTGTCCTAGTAGATAAGGCACCCACATCCCACAGTGGCATACATGAGTATAATCCCTGACTCATGACTACAGGTGCCAGCTTCCTTCTAATGTCACTATAGAAGACAGTGGTAATGGCTCACATAACTGGGTTCCTGCCACTCACATGGGAGACATGAATGAGTTCCAAGCTCTCAGCTTTGGTCCCAGCCCAGCCCTAACCACTGTAGTTATTTGAGATTTGTCATGGCATAGTAAGTGAAATTCCTGCTTACAACTCTGGCATTCCCATACAGGGGCTGGTTCAAGTCCCAGGTGCTCCAATTCAAATCCAGCTTCCTGCAAATGCCTTGGGAAAAACAGCTGCAAATGGTCCCAGGTACTTGGGTCCCTACTGCACTTGTGGGAAACAGCCTTCTTGTTTCAACCTGGCTCGGTTATGGCTGTTGCAGCTGAGAAGTGAACTAGTACATGGAAATCTGATTCTTCCTCCCTTTTTGTAACTCAAATAAATAAACCTGTAATAAATAAATAAATAAATAATAAAGCTTACTAGCTAACTAATGGGGATCAGCAGCTTCAAATGTAAAAAAATCCCCAACCCATTTTTTTCTAGTGGTGAGAAATCAGTTTCTTTTGCAATGAAATAGAATATCATGAAATTTAAAAACAAAAACAAAACAACAACAAAAACAAACACCACTATGGGCATACAGAACAGAGACTACCCATTCACAGTATTATTGGCCTCATTATTTTGCTAAACTGGCTAGTGGTAACAGGCGCTATCAAGAATCTTTTAGCTATTTAGTGCAAGAGAGTAACTACAGAAAATGACATTAAGAGGCCTTCCCAGCCCCAAGGACTAACCTCTAACCAGAGCTGTCGGCCATCCTGTTCAGAAGGAC